CCGTTTCGTCGTTCCTACCCCCCCCTCCCCCCCCCCCCCCCGGTTCCAATTCCACTGCCCGTGGCACCCCCTTCATTATCATTCTTCTCTTTGCTGTGGTTTGTTGGATTGTGTTCTATCCATCTTTGGTTCTCTCCGCGTTCTTTCCTTTCTCTTCATACACCTACTTCACATAATCGCCCCTCGCTTCCACCTATGCTTTCCCGCCACTCACCGATTGTGTTTCCTTCCCCAGGCTGTGCATCAATACTGATGAGTTATCACTTAGACTGATTCATCTTGCACCTTCTTACAATTTGAAAGACCGAGCTTTATTGAGAAATCATACGCCTTCCACGTCTTGATCAAAGGCTTCTCGTTTCACTTAGCTTGTACAATGGCCACTCATCCCCTCCCCCCCCCCCCCCAGCCTACCTAATATTTCTCACTTCTATGACAGTCTTACTCAAACCGTGATCTGATCGCGAACTGACAGAATCTAGGCAAAAAGAATTGGAAAGGAATCTCTGCGGAATTGTCATGCCGGCCTATGGGTATTGTAATGATATGCTGTGGTAGTTGCTGACATATCATGAAGGAGGCGAAGTACTGGAGAAATCTCGGTACCACCGATCACTTCGAAAGGTGCCGCGTCGCAATTTGCTGAGTATGCTGCGCTGCGTATGGAAGACCCTTCCAGTGTCCCCGAAGAAGGACTCTTGGATTCGCCTTCGGCTCCTCGCTCTGATAAGACTGTTCGTTCTGCTCTAGAAGTTCTCAAGTGGAAAAACAATGTCGAAGCGCCAAAATCAAATCATCGGCCACAGAAGAAGAGGAAGAATGACGATATGCGACAACTTTTCATTGATGCTGGGCAACGAGATTTCAGTGCACGTGCATGCAAAGTGTGCGGAATGGTATTTTGCCCTGGTCTAGAGCCAGATGAAGCTCTACACAAGAAAGTGCATGCCAACGCAGTGGAGGGCGTGGAATTTCGAGGCTTCAGGAACGAGCGGGTCATAAAGCGATTTGATTGCGGATCTCGGATAGTTTGCATTCGTCCCGACGATCAAGCATCACACATAGAAAAGGCAGAGGAAGTCAGAAATTCTGTCGAACAACAGATGGGGGGTATTGACTGCAGCGAACGGCTTGAGTCGAGGTTTCACGCATACTACTTGCTGATATCGCAAAGGAAACGAGTGATTGGATACATATTAGCGGAGGAGATCAACAAAGCATACAAAGCTCTGCCACGGCCTGCAGTAGAAAATGAGGAAGATGAGGACGCACTGATTATGCTTTCTGAACGCGCAGAAAGAGCTGAATGTGGAATTTGCCAAATTTGGATTCACAAGAATCACAGGAGGAAAGGACATGCAAAAAAGTTGTTGGACAGTGTGAGAGAAAGCTTTCACAACGGCAGCGTTGTTCCTCCTAACTTTTGTGCTTTCTCTCAGCCCACTCCGATGGGCCACAAGCTGGCAACGCGTTATTTCGGAACGAGCGAGTATTTAGTGTACAAGCTCGTCGATGGACCATATTCATAGGTAGGTTAATGAAACGACAGGGCAGCGTTAATCCTGGCCGCTTCCATCCTGCTTTGAAGTGCTTCTATTGATACTGAATTAAATTTGTAAACAGAAAAAATTCCTTTAACTATCCAAGCATCTTCTTAACGCGAATGTTCGACTTGGCCAGCCTGGAGTCCACAGCATCTGTCCTGTCCGACAAGCGTTCGATCGACTTAGTCTGCGAATCAAGAGTTGTTCCCATATCCTTCCCCATGGCCTTAAGTTCTCCAACCATTCTCGACAGATCATCCAGATCGTTCTCCTGTTGGTCTTCTAGCTTCTGAAGTTTACCTTTCCAGTCAGAAGCGTACTCCTTTTGCTGGTTGTTAGCTCGGGCGTTGAAAGAATCGGCCAGGTTCCTTCCAGTGCTGCCCGACTGCCTTGCGGACCTGTTCTGATCTAGCTTCTCGGCTTCAGCCTCCGCTCTTGGACGTGAGCTCTTGACGTTGCCCTTTGTCATGTAGTTCTTGAAGGAGCCCCAGATGGATTCCATTCCTCGGATGGTGCGATCAGCGAAGTTCAGGTTAGCTTCTATCTTGTCCACCTCCCCATGCATGCGCTTCAGTTGCTCTGCCCACACTCTCAGTCCGCATCATCTTGACAATGCAGATTTCACTCACCAGATTGCTGGTCGAGGACGGTGAGAGTCTCTCCTGCGACCTGACGAGTTTGGTCGGTTTGCCTGACCATCTGCCTGATCTTCTCTGAGTTCTGAGAAGCCTTCACCAAAATTTCCTGCTTCTTCTGCTCCTGCTGACGGACTGCATCCCAGTTTCTCTCGTCCCAACCTGCTCCACCTCCCCAATTATTGCCGGACATCTTGGACTCCTTTCAGGACTAGCGGAAGCAAACACAGTTAGCAAAGAGCAAGAACTCGGTTTTGGCATCAAATCACGGATCTCGATTGAAATACATCACACAGGTATGGCCGCAAGCATATATCGAAAGTGATATCTTTCAAGTTTCATTGGATCACATGGGCTCTGCAGGAAGGATGACATAACGGCTCTCATATCAGCTTCGTAGGAGCCCGGCACCTTTTCTACCATGCTCACCCTCCTTGCCACATCATCTCACGGGGTGATCAGGAAAAAGTAAGGCAAGAAAACATCATAGATAAAGTGATCGACTGAGTCCAATCAAATGCAACGATAATTCAACATCTTCGAGATAGATTCATTGCCAATGCTTGTGTGGTCTGTCCTTCTTTTCTCTTTGATTCTCTTCATCCCGTCTCCCGTTCTCTACTGCTCTCCTTATCAATTCCATAGAATTCATTTCATTCATGTCCCTCCCATCCCCTCCCATCCCCTTCCCCCTCCTTCCCATCCTGCCGTTTTGTTGTCCTCCCGTGTATTCATTTTCGCCCAAACTAGCAGCATCAGCAAAATTTTACCCACCCCTTGATCCTGCCCTACCTTGTACCCCACCCTTCTCGTCACCCCAAAAAACTACCACCCTACCTTCTGTCCACAAAGGACCCCATGTTTCATATATAAAGAACCCACCAATCACCGGCTACTTCAACATACTACCCTACCCCTTCAGGTCTAGTTCAAACATCCGACCCCCACCGCAACCACCTTTTTGGCTCTTCCACCCTGATACTCATACCCCCACCCCCCATATTACCCATGATCACCCCACCCTCGAGGGGCTCAGCACTTCGCCGTTCGAGGGTCAACAACCAGGATTGACTACCCCTACCCACCAAATAGCACAACATTACACCCGTACACTTAAAGGGATATTGAGCACCCCTACCCCCACGACGGATATTTAACAAGTTTCAAACTTTGAACCATGTTCAGCCATCAGAACTTTCGAGTAAACTTTCATACTTCTAAAGTTTCGATACCTTCGATGCCGACACCGCTGATCGTCATCAGCCCGGAGGAGGCAGGAGGAGCCACCAGGTCGACCCTCTTGGAGGCAGCGGAAGAACTCAAGCGCCGAGGAAAGAGGTCTTGACCCCATCCCTTGCTTTCTTGGATATTGATGCTCCTCCTCGATGCTTGCATACCGGCAGTGTGGCTGGAGTCGTTGCCCCCACCAAAGATGACCGTCGCCATTTGATACGAATTTCGAGCTCAGAAACTCGGTTGCTCCAATTGAATGAAATAAGTGAGGAGACCAAAGAAAAGATGAAAGCTTTCAAGAAAGACATGAAAGGCGAGATGGAATTTCATTCTGATCAAGGTAAATCCTGACGAGTGGATTCAGTAAGGAGAGTGCATGAGGGGGTGGAGAATCAGTGCGCGATCTTCTGCAATCATCTGATTTCTAGTGAGCAGAAGGAGCTACGTCGACATACGGGGAATCAACCGTAGCCGTTGGGCCATTCATTTTCGATGAGGCAGTGTTCAAATGGGCGCGTCAGGAGCTCGATGAGAGTGTAAGGGTGGACTACTTGATCATCGACGAGATCGGGCCGTTAGAAATCAAGCGCAAACAAGGACTTGAACCTTCGTTTTCCCAAGCACTTTCTAACTTGTGCTCTCCTGACACATCCCAACGTGTCTTGATTGTTGCACGGAAGAACGTCTGGCCGGTCCTATCTGAACTCTACGAAGTGGAATACACAACATTACAACAAGTTGTTGCTGCTTCGGTAACAAAATAAATGTAAATATATCTCTGAACAAACATGCTCGAAGGAATCATATTCGAATGAATGGAAACTTTGGTTTTCTGCTTTGTAATGAATGAAGTCGAAAAGTTTACTTTGATGCACCGCTCTTGGTAGCAGAGTTCTGGGATCTACGCTTGGAAGCCTGCTCGGCACGCTTCTCCTTGGCCTCCTTCTTGCGCTTAATGACCAAGTCGTGGTACTTCTTAGCGTCCTCCTTGCTCTTCTCACGGCTAGCCTTCTTGAGCGCCTTCTCGGCACGTCTCCTCTGGAGACGCTGGGGGGTAACGAGACGCTGCACCTTGGGTGCCTTGATGGTGGGCTTCTTGCCCTCACCACGAGAAACCTCACGCTTGAGGCGGTACTGCTTCTCGAGCTTGTCACCCTTCTCGAGAGCGAAGAGCTTCCTGATGCGGGTAGCACGCTTGGGACCAAGGCGGCGGGGCACAGAGGTGTCTGCACGAAACATAAGACTTCGGATTCAAGCAGGGGCGAGGCAAAAACTCACCAGTGAGTCCTGGGAGCTCACCCTCACCCTTCTGGACGATCAACAAGTTGAGGACTTGGATGTCGGAAGAGACGATGCATCCACGGACAGACTTCCTCTTGCGCTCTCCCTTCCTGCGGGGACGGTAGCAGGAGGATCCCTTCTTGAGGAGGAGGCGGACACGTTTGCTGGTCATGACACCCTGCTTCATGGGGAAACCCTGCTTGTCATTTCCTCCAGAGATCTTGAAGACGTATCCCTTGAACTCATCGCCAAGCACGTCACCCTGAACTTCCTGGTTCATGCGCTTGTCGTAGAATTCGCGCCTGATTCCCACAAATAAGACATGCGAGGTGGACAACAACATCAAGGTAGACTACTTACAATTTGCGCTCATCTTCGACCTCCAGCACCTTCTGGCAGCCAGTTGCAGGGTTCGCGATGTTGAACTACAAAGCAATGAGTCAAGATGTAAACACGGACTTCATACTGCATATACACATATTTCAACCACTGCATCCTGCTATCAAGCATAGAAGCCTCCCACACACCGTAAGGACTGATACTAAATCGCCACATCATCGATCATCTCGTGATGCGATCCGCACAGGATTTGGACCGCATACAACAACAATGACCACAAGCAACCATCTACCATACTTTCAAGTTCATCTCACAACCCTTCATATCCTCCTCTTCCCGCCCATCCTCCCACGAGCGCGACACCATTGCCCATCTTACCTTCATTCTGCCGCTACGCTCGCGCACGAGTCTCCTCCTAAAAAAACTTCTTTTACTTAACACTCCGTTACATCCCGAGAAAACTGTAACAGAAAGATTCAATTCGGGTCACGCGGTCCCTCATCCCCCCGCTTTCCTGGGGGCTAGTAGCTCAGAGTTCAGTGCGCGGCATGCCGGCTGACGGATGGCCCGGGTGGCCCGGGTGGCCCGGGAAGGTAGTCGGCGCCATGGGCACGCTCTTCGCGGGGATGTTCGTAGAGCGACATGTGTTGGCAGCAGGTGAGGGCGATGGCTGAGACGGCTTGCTTGTCCTGCTCCTTGCCTGCTTCTCTTCTTGTCATCAACTGTGAAGCAGCCTCCTGCTTTGCTCTCCGAACTCCCCTTTCCCCTGTTGACCTGGGGGGTTGTGTCGGAGTGCGAGGTTGTCGTGCCAGACAGAGGGCCAAGAGAGCATGGAGCTGTCTCTGAGTAGAGTGACTCGTCATGCTGCAGGATCTGAAGGAAAAATGCTGGTCTGGGAGATCGACCCGTTCGTGCAGACCCTCTTCCTCTGACAATCTGACTTTCCCTCAGAATGTTGAACGCGTCCTTTTGGGAATCTGCAGGAAGAGACTGCAAACCCAGCCCCGCGTTTACCCACAAACTCCATGATTGCTCGATTTTCTGCATGCTGTCTCTTTCCAAAGATGTATCCCGCCAATCCTAGCATGCTTGCACTGAGAATTGGACAGGTAATCCTCACAGGGTCCGACGATGGCATGCGAGCATGGAAGGCAGATTCTTTGCTCGGTGCCAAAGCTGTGCTGATCGACAGCTTCGTGCAACCCCAGATTTGCATCGTGAGTCTCGTGGTGCTGAGATATGAAGTGACTCAAGGCAGGGGCGGGGGGCAACTCTGCCCGTGGCTGAGACCAACGGGCTCGCTCGGAACACCTCGGGGTCAACCTTCATTTCTGCAGCAGGTGATGGGCGAGCAGTGGTGTGCTGTGTGCAGAAGTTGATCTGAGCCCCACGGTGCAGGAGACTCGAAGGCGTATGCGTGGGATAGTGGGACGTTCAAGGTCAAGGCGACCTTCCAAGGACACGACAAGTACCTGCATTGCGTGCAGTGCAAGGATGAGAACCTTTTTGTGACGGGAGCCGAGGACGGGAAGGTGCTGCTGTGGGACCTGAGGTTGAGCGTCAAGGTTTCAGGGTTGTGAGCCTTGTGACAAGGGAGCAGGGACTCCAAGAGGGCTGGGGAGCTCCTCCCCGTCTCCAACGGCCCGGGTGCCAGTCAGTTCGTGGGAGCGGTCGACGTTGAGAAGAGCAACTGGGTGGCGGCGGGAGGAGGAGGGAAATGTGTCTGGTTGTGGCACCTCGGAAGCAGGAAGCTGGTCGCTGCCATGCCTTCATGCGGCGACGTGCAGGTAGGGAGCCCGCAGCTGACGTTTGGCTGACGGCTGATAACGCTTGTTGCTTCACAGGCCGTGACGTTTTGTGGGGATAAGATCATCAGTGCAGGTACCTCTCCCTCTTCCCTATCCTCTTCACCTCAGGCCTCATCCCAGGCGCCGAGCCAGCCATGTACATCTGGTCGCGGTCGGGGACGCTGGCCAGGTCAGGGAGTGTGCGGCCCCTGTCACTGGCTCTGATCGTTGCCTGCTCTAGCCGTGTCAAGACCGACGAGCCCTCGATGTACGGCATTGCACACAGGCCTGTCGACCTTCAATCTCCTCCTGACTCATTGGACTCCCGTAAGACTCGTGCTCTGTTCATGGACGGGATGCCTGATGTTGTGTTTCTCTTCCCCTCCCCTCCCTCCCCTCCCTCCCCTCCTCTCCCCTCCCTCCGTTTCCCCTCCCTGCCAGGCATCGTTGCAACTTTCGGGACTCAGGACTCTGTGAGCATTCACTACCGTGGGGGAGCAGACTTCGGGTTCAAGTTGTCCACCCACGTAGGATGACCTGTAAAATTCTCTTGTTTGGAATGTCGACGGGCTATCGAAATGCTCTCCCTCACACCCACACTCCAGAAGCCTCCATGCCGTCCCCAGTGTGTGCACCAGCGTCGTCCACTGCACATCTCTTGAAGCAAGGGAGAGAGTAAGGGTTGGATCACAGGTGTAGGAGAAGGAGACGATGAAAGAGTAGGTGACGATGAAAGAGTAGCGGCGGCGGCGGCGGCGGCGGCGGCGGCGGCGGCAGCAGCAGCAGCAGCAGGAGTAGGAGGAGAGGGAAAGGACGGACTGAGGTAGTAGGTGGCAGTCAAGGATAGCGGAAGTGGTCAAGGATAGAGTAAGGATCAGGGAAGGATAGTGCGGTGGAGGGAGGGAGGGCCTCAAAAAAATAGAAAGGGAGGGTCCGGGAGGAGGCGCATGGCTGGGGCGCTTCTCGCTCTGCCAGCAGGTGAGGGGCCGGTGGGGAGGTGGGCGGGGGCGAAGGAGAGGATGAGGAGGAAGTGAGTGAGTGAGTGAGTGAGGGAGGGAGGGAGGGAGTGAGTGAGGGAGGGAGTGAGGGAGTGAGTGAAGGAGGGAGGGAGTGAGTGAGTGAGTGAGTGAGTGAGTGAGTGAGGGAGGGAGGGAGGGAGGGAGTGAGTGAGGGAGTGAGGGAGGCAGGCATGAGTGATGGGTGTCATACGAGCTCATTGGTGTGGTCTTGTGCTGACTCGTGTGCTGCTCGAAGTCGTGATCGCTCTTGTCGCCGGCCTTGCGCTTCTGTACTTCCTGGGAGAGAGAGCGCTCTTTAGCTCGGTACTTTGGCGCTGCTCCACTTCTGTCCATGCTGATCGCGCGCAACAGATCCAGTTCTCCGTGCTTATCTTCTTCGTCACCTTCCTCTCGCTGCTGTGGGAGTCCTACCGATCCATCGCTGCAGGGGCTGCTGCCTCCCTCTTTCTCTCCTTGCTCTCTCACTCCATCGGGATCTGGAGGGCGACAGGGCTCGTCATCCTCTGCTTAGCCGCCCTCGCTTTCCTCCTGCCGATTTACCGCCTGCTCCCAACAAGCCCAAAGAACTGAAGGGGCGATCGCATACACGACAAGTACAGGATGAAAAGCTCCCCCTTCCCGATGCTCCTCCTCTTCTCATGCTCCCTATCTCCTTCCTCCACCTTCAACCTCCTGGCAGGCACATCTCGCCTTGCCCACCTGCGTGCCGCATCATGCCCGCCCTCCTCGTTTGTGTCCAGCTGGCAAGCTGCTGAGGTCGTTCGTCGTCGAGGCAGACATGGCTCCGTCGAACGAACGGGGTGCCGAGGTCTCGCCGCCTCGAGCGAGGAGGCTCCGAAGAGGAACTTCCTTCGTTTCAAGCTGAAGCGATACGTGAGTCGACATGTGCCGGTGCTCTGAGGTTGACGGCTTGTCTTCAGGAGCAGAACCTCTCGGATGAGCATGAGGAGCTGACCAGGGAGTTGAGCGCACCCAAGACATTCAACACTGCCATGCACCTCAACGGAAGTGTTGCTGCCCTCGCCGTCCTGCCGCTGGACTCGTCTGATGGGAGGAAAGTCGTTCTCGCTTCGGGGGCTCATGACGGGACACTCCGGCTATGGCAGCTGAACGTGACTGAGGGAATTGAAGCGTACGGGAGGTACAGCGACCCTCCTCCTAAACTCCTGCCCTACGGGACGGTCACCATGTCCGCCGACGACAGGAGCATTTTCTCCCTGCAGTGCGTCGGGCGTGAGCTCTGGGTGGGAAGGGGCAAATCGAGGAAAGCAGAGTGCTGGGAGTATGACAAGGGCAAACTGAAGGCCAGGCTCACGGAAGGAGGTGATGGAAAAGTTGAATCGAACGAGGTGGCAGGAGACGGCCTGAGGAAGAAATACGACATGCCGGACCACACGGGATGGGTGCGAGCGATAGCATGCTGCGGGGACCTCGTCTTCACGTGCGGCTGCAACTTCGTCAAGGTCTGGAGGCACAAGGGGGAAGAGGTGGAGCATGTGGGGGACCTCGAGTCAGACGCGGATATCCTAAGCCTCTCCTGCTCTTCGCACTTGCTCTTTAGCGGGGACATCAGGGGCAGGCTCATGGTGTGGAACGTTCAGTCCCTTCTGCAGGGAGGGGACGAGGTGCAGTTGATAAAGCCCAGCATCGTGCAGGCGCATGACGGCCGCATCACCGGCATGAAGTGGTCGCCGAGGGAGGAAGGAGAGTTGGAGGACGTGCTCTTCACATGCAGTCATGATGGTTTCCTCAAGTGCTGGAAGCCTTGCTCAGAGGGTGAGACCGGCTCCTCTCAACGCGGGTGAGTCTGCTGCGCCCTCTCTCTACAGTGGTTTTGATACATGACAAAACAGAACCAGCTTCGCGGCTTTCACGTTGAAACTGGTATGCTGATTTTCAGTCCCCTTGCTCGCTCCTCAAATGATCTCCCACCATCAAGCATTTCGCAAGTAGCTAGCAACTCCTCTTACCAATTTGATGGCTTGCAGGCTGCAGAAACGAATGCCCTTCAGAACCTTGGAGTCCTCGCACGCGATTGGGAGCGCCTCCTCTGCATGGACCTCTCGCCCCCAGGCAAGCCTTCTGATCACTTGACTCCTTTGCCCTTTTCACCATGGGCACCCCTCCCACTATACTTCCTCGTCCTATACCTGTCACACCACCCATTCGAAACACTCCTCCTCCTCCTCATTTTTCACTGACGTTCTGCCCCAGGAACAGGTAAAGTAATCGAGGGCAACTTGAACAGACTTAGCGGGCACTACCTCTACATGGGCACGTCAGGTGGGAGCGTCTTGGTGAGCCACTCCCCCCTCCCTTGTCTTATCTCATCCTCTTCCTATCCTTCCCGAAGGTTTACGATCGTCAACTGCATCACGGAGCATTGAAGATGGTTCAGTTCTCCCCTAAGATGATAGACCTGGTCGGAGGAGGGAAGGTTAACGGCATGCATGCATCCTTCGCTGCCTAATGCTCCACTAGATCTCTTCCATGCTCGCCATACCCTGGCCCAATGGACCGGGCAAGATCCTCTTCCTCGGCACAGATACGGGGAAGATTCTCCCATGGAACCCGGTCCATTGAGGAGGAGCTATTCGAGGGATCCCCTCTCTTGCCATATAAGGACGGAGAGGACCGATGAAGATGAGACGTGGGGGGTACAAGGTCAATCACAACCATTGGCACTCGAATGGGAGGGATGCTGAGCGTCCGATGCCTCCTCCTGCCAATTTCTAGTGTACATTTTCTGTGTCCTCCTCCCCTCCGACAGGAAGAGTTAAACTTTTTCACCCCTAGAACCAACGAGATCGCTGACTGCCGCGATCTCGTCACGAGCACTGATACCCTGCCGGGCATGTTTCACCGGGGAGCCTGCAACGGACGATGTCAAGGCTCCTGAAAAGGGAAGCAACAAGCTCCCTCACAAGCTTCGCTTCTTCTTGCGGCACTGAACCTCCTCGGACATCACGATAATCTGCTGGCGCATCAGAAGCTGTCGTCATGCCGGCTGAGGAAGTTCTCACCGGCTTTCCCAACATCGTCTGCGTCTTGAGTTTCATCGTATCATCGCCTATCACGTCCTTCTCCGAGACCCTGCGGCTGACCGTCACCGGAAGCTGGCAGGATCCTTCCTCTCACAGCTTGTCGATGTACTCGCTCGCGACCTCCTCCCGCGCGAACAGAACCTAGCAAGGTCCTCACCAACAGCACGGCCATCGAGGAGGAGGCCGACCTTGTTGAACCCCACGAAGAAGGGCACAAGCGGGGCTTCGTCGAGGCTCGACTGGTTGTAGTAGAACCTCATGACTCCCTCGGAGACGCCGGGCCACCTGCTCCCGAGTGAGTGTGCGATGTTAGGAGGGCGACATGTCTCTGACCCCTCAGCAAAGAAGTCGTCCACCATAATGATGCCGTCCTGTGCGAGCACGCGAGCCGCCTGTCAGCCTCATCAGGAGCTGTCGCAGCAGAGGCTCCGGTTACGATTGACAGGTCGTTGTATGTGGCCTCAGCCGTGTGGGAGCCGTCGATCGAGAAGATCCGCAGCTTCTTTTTGTCGTTCGCTTGCAGCACCTGGGCTCGTCAGACGCCAGCGGCTCCTCCGTCAAGGATCCGACCTGCTCAGGCTGCAGGATCATCGAGTCGGTTTGTAGGATGGCGAGCTTGTCTGGTGTCACGCAGACATCCCCGCACCTGGAGGGGAGAGAAGCGTCTCAGCCTCCTTCCTATCGTGCAGCATGATCCACCATCTTTCCAGCGTTCGCAAGAGCTCCTGCCGGTCGCCTTCTCCCGATCCATCCACGTTGAGATCCTGCTCCTCGAAGACGTCGATCGCGACAGCTCGTCCTCCTTGCCTCCCAGCGTCCAAGTTCATGAGGCTCAGGGCCGTGAAGGTCTGTGGGGGATCATGACAGCGTCAACGAAAGAGGTGGTAATGGTGGAGGAGGAGAACAGAAGAGAAATGAGGTGCGGGTGAAGGAGAAGAACAGAGGGTTTGGGGGAGGGCAAGAACAGAGGGGTGGGAGGAGGAGGAGATGCACGAGGATTCTGCAGGACCTTGCCGTGGTGGACTCCTATCTCCGCCACACCTCCTTCCACCCCTTTCTTGATCTGATGCGCCGAAAGGACTCGGAGGACGAGCAGAGCCTGCAGGTCGAACCATCCGATCACATCGTTCATGCCCTCGATCATGTACCTGCCGCCACGGTCAGTACCTACCCCTTCCCTGCCTCACCTAGTCGCCCACTTGTCCATCCGAGCCTGCACGCGGGGATCCACCTCCAGCTCAGGCTGGCTGAGCCGGTGGCGCTGGTGGAAGAGACTCAGAGCATCTTCGCTCCACTCCATCTCGAACGTGCTCGTCCGCCATGGCGCCAGTGCCAGCACAAGCGCTACCGCCAAACCCGCCCTCATCGCCCGACAAAGACGGAACCGTTACAGTAACCGTTGGAGATCCGAGTGCGTTACGGATCCGTTGGTATGGTGTTTCCGTTACATTGCCGTTACAGAAGGATTGGACAGCTGTCGATCAATTCAGAATGCCATGCAAGCTCAATCAAGGAGAACGCGGGGAGGAGGAGGAGGGAGGGAGCAGGAGAGGGAGGGAGGTAGAGAATATTTGTCTGGGTATGAAAGTGGGGGATGGTTATCACCACACTAGCACGCGATCACGCCATCATAGGGTAGGGATACTGGTGTTAAACAAAGTTTTCGTTGCTAAATGTCTCGATATGGATCGCATGTTAACGCGTCGTAGTGCATAGACGAACAGTGTATTTTTGCTGTTTGATACAGTCCTTGTTGATGATTTCTGAATTTCCTCAAGCAGATCTATCAGCGCTGATCAACAATGACTACCGAAGATACCGATATGATTCAGTCGAATCCAGCCGATGAAATGAAGCAGAAGGCGCTGGATCGCTACAAAGAGACGCTGTTGAAGCATAGGGAACAAGAAGCAAGAGTCCGTGAAATGAGGAAGAACCTCCGAGAGCTCAATAAGACCTACGACAAGACGGAAGAGGATCTCAAGGCTCTTCAGAGTGTTGGTCAGATCATCGGTGAGCTATTGAGACAGCTGGATGATGAGAGGTACATCGTGAAGGCGAGCAGCGGGCCCAGATACGTTGTTGGTTGTCGTAACAAGGTACGATCATTTCTTGGCTCGATGTCGAAAGCTGAACCATCTGTGATACTTTCAGGTCAGTCGGGACCAGTTGAAGCCTGGAACCAGGGTTACATTGGATATGACCACTTTGACAATCATGAGAATCCTCCCTCGCGAAGTTGATCCTCTTGTTTATCATATGGCCGCCGAAGATCCCGGCAAGGTATTCGCTGCTTTTTTGACTGCTGTGGTGGAATGGTCTGATGATTCGATACAGGTCAGCTACTCCGACATTGGAGGGCTGGGTGACCAGATCCGTCAGATTCGCGAGGTGCTTGAGTCCGTCGGAGCGATCTTGAGGTATTGAGTGTTGAGGTCAGGTGATTGAGTTGCCTCTTATCAACCCGGACCTCTTCGTTCGCGTCGGTATCAAACCTCCCAAGGGTGTCCTGCTATATGGCCCGCCTGGAACTGGAAAGACGCTATTGGTAAATGGCATATATTGATGCTTCTGGCGTGTAATCATTCCTTCTTGCAGGCTCGTGCGATAGCCTGTAACATAGAAGCTTCTTTCTTGAAGGTTGTCTCTTCCGCCATTGTGGACAAGGTTTCAGCTTTACTCTTTGGCTTTCCTCAAGCTCATTGATATGATAGTACATCGGAGAGAGCGCGCGTCTCATTCGTGAGATGTTTGGATATGCTAAAGAGCGACAGGTTCAGATGTTTCAATGGAGAGTTTCTAGAGATTCACTTGTTGCTAGCCGTGCGTGATTTTCATGGACGAGATTGATGCCATTGGGGGAAGACGCTTCTCAGAAGGTTGGTTGAATTTGCTGAATTTGCTTTCGGAGATTTGGCCCCTTCCAATCTTGAGAACTGTCTCTGAGTCATGATGTTTCAGGAACTTCTGCAGATCGTGAAATTCAGAGAACTTTGATGGAGCTTTTGAATCAGGCATGCTTTTCATCTTTGTCCCTGTGTTCTAATCTAATGTTTTTAGCTGGATGGATTTGATGTTTTGAACAAAGTGAAAATTATCATGGCGACGAATCGTCCTGATGTTCTGGATCCTGCTCTTCTCAGGCCTGGCCGCCTTGATCGCAAGGTAGAATGAAAACTTCCTGTATAGCATTTTTTCTTGATCGTCCCTCGTCAGGTCGAGATTTCCCTCCCTAACGAACAGGGAAGGCTTGAAGTCCTCAAAATCCATGCTGCTCCCATCACTAAACACGGTATAGTCCCAACCACACAACTGGAGACGCTAACTTGCAACTTACGCCTTAGGCGACATTGATTACGAAGCAGTGTGCAAGTTGGCAGATGGGTTCAATGCTGCAGATTTGAGGTCGGTTGTTCTGTTCCCATTTCTTTGCTCTTACGTAGTTGTAATCAGGAATGTCTGTACCGAAGCGGGCATGTTCGCTATCCGAGCGGAGAGAGACTACACAATCGAGGAAGACTTCATGAAGGTATGCCTCCTTGCCTGCTCTTCCTTCTTTCTGAGTCTCTTGCAAAGGCTGTGCGCAAGATGGCAGATTCGAAGAAGCTTGAGGGAACACTCGAATACAAATCAGTGTAAATTAGGGCAGCAACTCATGAGTGAAAGAAGTCTCGACCTTTCTGACCAAATCTCCTCTCTACGCAAACGACAGAAATCCCACGATTTCATGCAACTCCTGAGGGATCCCAGCAGTATTTGGTCACGAGGCGGTTCCCTTGGGTGTCAGTCTTTGTTATCGCATTCAAGAGGTTCATGCTGCTCTCCGAGAGCTCTGGAAGCTGAAGGAAAGCAATCAGATCCAACCGACTCGTCATGCTCGAATACCTGAGTCGTCTCTAGGTTCTCTGCCAGCCTCTGCTCGTTCGAAGATCTGGCTACTGCAGAGCCGCAGGTCTGCATGGCCCATCGGATGAGAACCTGGGCAGCTGAGACCCCCTCCTCCTTTGACGCTCGGAGCACGTCTGCATTAGAAAGCAGCGACTGCACGCCTGCGGGAGATCCAAGAGGAGAGTATGCCTGTACCTGAACCTTGTGGGCCTCGCAGAAACGTAGGAGCTCCTCCTGGAAGCAAGCTGGGTGTAGCTCGACCTGGTTGACGCAGGGAACAAGCTCGGAGCACGCGAGCAGCTCCTGCAGGTGACGGACGCAGAAGTTACTCACTCCCGCCCTTCGAATCATCCCGAGTTTCAGTGCATCCTCGAGAGCCTGCCAGCTCTCCAGCCGCAGCCGCTTGTTCGCAGGAGACTCCAACGGCGTCTTGGCTGCTCCCGGCCAGTGGATGAGGTAGAGGTCAAGGTAGGAGGTGTTGAGCCTCTGGAGGGAGGAGGTCAGGGCCGACATGGCCTTGCTGTAGCCCTGCTCGTTGGGAGCGAGCTTAGAGGTTATGAACACATCCTCTCGCCTCACGCCGGACGCAGCGAGGCCCATGGCGATGTCCTCCTCATTCCTGTAGATGGATGCGGTATCGATGGCGCGGTAGCCCAGCTCCATCGCCTGCTGAGTAGCTCGAGAGGCCTCCTCTCCTCTCAGCTGGAAAGTTCCGAAGAAGAGCGGAGGCAGGCTGCCTGCTGCCTCCTCCATGGGGGGGGAGGCGTCAGCGCCTTCCTTGGGGACCAGCGGCAGGGGAGGGCAGAGCTCAAGGCCCTGCTGGCTGTCAAACCAGGAGACTATGAAGGAGCTGGGGCACGAAGAGGAGGGAGGACAGAAATCCACCTCCCCGCAGCTCCCCGTCTGACTCGTCAGGCTGACCAGGCGGTCGCTGAGGTCGAAGGCCTCCCCTGCCACCTGCAGCCGGCCCCCGCTCTCCCCTCCGACCCCAGCGACGTAGGAGGGAGTAGAGCCGCCGCGGGGCAGGGAGGTGCCGATGGCTACAGCAGAGACGTTCGCATCCAGCCCGACGATGGCGCGCAGCAAACTTCCCAGGCTGCCTGCCAGCTGCCCTGCGCTGCTGGGGTAGAGCTGTGTGCCGCCCTTGCAGGGGAAGCAGAGAGTCTTCCTCCCAGCCTCCACCTCCTCACACCACAGGGGGCTCGCTCGGAGCTCCTGCAGCTGATCCTTCACCCTCCTCGTCAGCTGGGGAGCTATGATCCTGTCCCGCGCTGCCTTGGCCTCCTCCTGTTTCCCTTTCCGCTTCTGGCCCACCGACATGCCTCGCGATGGACCCGCGCCCCCCGCCATTCTCCATGTACTCGCTGGCGGCGAGAGGAGGAAGAGGAGATGGAGGGTGGGGGAGACGACAGGTGGGCGAGAAGGAAGGAAGGAAGGAATCGCGGAGGATGAGGGATAGCCTGCGGCTATGAAAGAACAGAAGCCGTGGAAGGAGAGCGATGTTCAGTTGAGACTGACTAGAGAGAAGGACGGGGGGAGGATGAAGAGGGAGAGGAGAAGGCTGGAGAAGAACCGAGGCTTCAGGTAGGAGGAGGAGGAGGCACGGAGGGGAGCCGGCGGCGGTCGGGGTATCGGGGGAGGAGTTTTTTTCACCTGGGGGCTTTTGGGAAGATGCGGCTGTAGGTAGTGAAGGATGCGGCTGAAGTAGATAAGATGGACAAGGGAGGGAGCGTAGGAGGATGGGGGAGGTGGAGGAAGCGAACGATGGCAGTCTTCAAGAGATTAGAGGAACACGTGCACGAGTGGGAGGAGGCATCTGAGCGAAGCAGGTGAGGAGGAGCGGAGGGGAGGGAAGGAAAAGGGAAGGGGAGGAAAAGGGAGGGGGAGGGGAGGAGGAGGAGGAGGGGAGAGGCAGAAGCGAGGGTGACGAGCTGCTGAAGGCATGTGGCTACTGGACTGGTGAACAGCATCCTCGAACTGGAGCGGCTTGATCTGTCTACGTCATGGGAGAAGCTCGCAGGAGACGAGGTGCCGGCATTGATGGAGAGGATAGAGGTCGAGCCGCGCATGGCGATTGCTGGTGGCTGAGACGTGAGCAGGGGAAGATGTGGAACGAGATCTACACACATAACGACATGCTCCAGCAGGTCTGATGATGATGGTGATGATAATCAGGAGAAGGAGAGGAGGAGGAGGACTAGGAGGAGGCGGATAGTCATCATGACAACAATCGCACTGTATCTCCCGCTCAGTCTTCTGTTCCTCGCAGGAACTGGCAGCCCTCGGACTGATCGTGGTGCACTAACGTTTCTTCTCTATTTCCTCATCCTCCTCTATCTCCTCCTTCCCGTCCTCGCCCCCCCCCGCCACTTATCGTTCGGCAGGCTCGCATGCAGCTCGTGATGTCAGACATGGACGACATCGTCTGCATGGCAAGTCGAGAGTCTCAGGAGGAGGAGGAGGAGGAGGAGGAGGGAGGAGAACGACCCTTGTTCCTCGTCAGCTCCCTCCCCACCATTGCTGACAGGTAGCTTGACTTCTCCTTCGCTACATCTCTGACACCCAGTAGGATGCGAGCAGTTGTGGAGCAGCACGAGGAGGTGGGGTCGTCGTGGAGCCGCTCCTGCTCACTGTCATGCAGGACCTGAAGCTCAAGTGCGCCATGGCGGTCGACATGCCCTCGTGAGCGCTGGAGCTCGGGGAAAGGAAACATGACGTGTGTACAGAAGGAGAGAGCGAGTTGTCCTCACGGCATACCTTTCTGCTTGGACGCTACAGGTCGGGAGGAGGAGGAGAAAGGGGAGGGGGAGGAGGAGGAGCTGGTGGTTGCGTGGTATTGGAGGAGGAGGGAGAGGAAGGAGTAGGAGGAGGAGGAGGAGGAGGAGGAGGAGGAGGAGGAGTACATTGGGGAATCGACGAGGTGTCATGGCAGGTTATGATCGACTCATCGGAGGTCAAAGAACTCTCGTCCATGCTAGAGGCCGAGAGCGTCTTGGCAGGGGTAAAGGGACCTTGACAAGTAAAATCGTCAAGTTCTCCTTTTACATATCCTCCTCTTCTCTCCTCCTCCCTCTCCTCCTCCTCCTCGTCTCTCTCCTCCTGCTCCTGCTCCTGCTCCGACTACTGCTACAAATACACTGGAAGAGCGTTAGGCATACTGCGGGGCTGACGTGCTGCGGTCCAGTCGATAGCTCGGGCGCTTTGCGCCATCCACGAGAATGACGTCATTGCTCTGACCTGAATGCCGCACCGTCCTCCTCCGTCCTCCCTCCGCCATGCCGCCCCTCTCCTCACCCTCCTGGCTCCTACCGCTGCTCCGTCCCTGCGTTGAGTCACTCGTCAGCTCCTTGCCTCCTTGTTCCCCCTCTCTCCTCCTCCCCTCCTTCCCCCCCACCCCCCTCCTCACCGTTGCCGCTGTGATCTCCCGTCTGCTTATCCTCCGCGGGGTGAGGTTAGTCTCCTGGTCTGACCCGCTCAGCCTGTTGCTGCTGCCGTTGAATCGTTTGATGAGATCCGCCTGCTAGCGCGTGAGATCTGCCGCTCCTACCTGTTTCCTGCCTATGCTCCACTCCTTCCCTCCTACAACTCCCCATCCTACACCCCGCTCTCGCTCCACTCTCCCTTCCCCCCCTCTCCGCTCCCCTCTCTACTCTCTCTCCTCATCTCTTGCTCCTCTATCCTGCTCAGCTCATCCTGCCCGTCTGCCCACCTCTCCATCTCCCCTTCCCTCCCACCCTCTTCTCCAATTTGCACTTCTTTCCCTCCTCTGCTGAATCTCTCTTCCTCCAGGATTTCCCCGCCGCTCTTCCACCTCGAACTCGTTGGAGGCGTTGGTGGACACGATCTCGCTCCTCCTGCTCTGTCTGTGCTGCTGCTCAGCTGCAGAGCTTTTGCCGGGACTTCGAAGCTGAGGGGATCACAATCACAACAGCCGAGCAGGAGCGGGTGGCAGACCTCCTGCCTGCCTCCCTCCTGAACGCTCCGCGAAAGTCCGCTCCTGGGAGACGGCATGAGGGGCTCAGGAGGAGGAGGAGGAGGAGGAGGAGGAGGAGGAGGAGGAGGAGGAGGAGGAGGACGCTTGTAACCTCCACGAGCTGGCGATCTGCTCGTATGCCGGAGGCCCCGGCGGGTCCGCTTCCTCCTCTGCTCCCCCGGGCTCCATCAGGGACTTGAGAAGGCCGAGGCTTTTGCCTAGCGACTGCAGAGCGAAAGTCACGAGGAGGTGAAGGAAGAGGGAGAAGGAGGAGGTGGTGGTGGTGGTGATGGTAGTGGTGGTGGCGGTGGTGGTGGTGGAGCAGGAGCAGGAGCAGGAGCAGGAGCAGGAGCAGGAGCAGGAGCAGGAGCAGGAGCAGGAGCAGGAGCAGGAGCAGGAGGATGGGGTCTGCATGGACCTCATGGAGAACTTTGATCTTCTTCCTCCTGCTCTCCGTCGGGCTGAAGAGCACCTAACACGCACCTCCTCATCCTCCGCCCTGCCATGAGCGCCATTGCGGTACCTTCTCCACTCGAGCCTCCATGTTCTCCACCAGATCCTTTTCCTTGGAGGTGAGGAGCTTGAGGGACGTTGAGAAGCTCTCTCTCTTTCCTCCCCCGTTCTGAGCGGGGCAAGTCACTGAGAGTGAAGCTCCATGCTGCTACCTGAGGGCCCTGGGCGGGATGGGCTGGAGGCGCCTCCCCTCTGATGTTGGAAGACATCTGAAGGATCTTCGAGGACGAGGGTGAGAGGAGGAAGCGGCTCGGTGGGGGATGGGGGCAGGGGAGCGAAGTCAGCCAGGACACGACCGTTACCTGCGCGTGGAGATGCTTGAGTGACCTCTCGACGTTGTGAAACACCTCCTGCTGCTCCTTGGCGAACTTGAGCTGCTCGTCTTGACAAGTTGTCAACTTGAGGGAGGCCCCATGGCACGTCAGACGGGGTTGAGATGCAGCCCAGCTCTTCACCTTGTGCTCGAGGGTGTCAAACCTTGCGGTGATCAGCGCACTTTGCTGTCCTCCATCCCCAGCTGGATTCTCCTTGCTCTTGGATGTCTGCGGCCAACCTCAGCAGGCTCCCAGCACGACGAGGCAAGGGAGGAACTCACACGCTTGATGACGTACTGCTCTACCTCTACCTCCTCGTCCTCCGTCCACTTGATGAACTGCAGCGATTTCGGTCTCATGACTGCGGAACCACAGAAGGCTCCTCACCCTCTTCTGCATCGCCTTGAACTGAAAGCTCAGCCTCTTGTCTTTTTTTCCCCTCCATCGATTCTGCTCGGTCCCTTCAGCCCTCCCTCGCACGTGCGGGCACTGGAGCACCTGAATGACAGCGGCAGCGAGGCAGGCGAGCTTGAACTGCCATTGCTCCATGTCGATCTGAGAAGGCTCTTCAGAGGAACAGCAGGACAGGAGCTGGGAGCGATCAGAGGGGGAGAGGAGCGGGAGAGGAAGCAGGTCCGAAGGATCGCTCGCCTGTATCAGCAGGTCCCTTTCGACAGTCGTCATCGAGATATGCTCGCAGAAGGTCGCGGTGACCGCAGCCACGTAGAGTCTGAGCGTGATCGTCACAGTCGCTACCTTGAGGAGGGGAGAGCCTTACGCTCCGAACATCATGACGAGGACTGCGATCGTCCTCCCTGTGTAAGTGACGGGGGTCGTGTCGCCGTAGCCGACGGTAGCCAACTGGAGGGAGCGAATGAGGTGCAAGTCGATCGATCCAACGGGAGACTTACAGTCACTACTACCAACCACTGTTGGGAGAGAAGGGAGGGGGGGGGACGGCAAAGGGATGGTGTCAAGTAGTTGTCAAACAGCAGGAGCTCAGTCAGTTACCATCGGGTTCCAGATGTTTTCCTGCTCATGAGACGATCAGCTTACAGCAGGTGCATTCCCATCATCCTCTTCCCACCGCGATGTCCGTCTGAAACGGAGCTTCGGCGAGCCTCATAAGGTACGTTGCAACCCAGAGGAAGACGAAGAGAGAAAACGACATGGTAAGCACCGGATGCCTCGCCAGCGCTACCTGCGTTGTCCGACTTTCAGCTCCCACCACCTTGCCACTTCACTGCTGACCTTGACGGCAAAGGAGGTGCTGGACGGCACGATGGTAGCGAACGAGTTCAGAGTCGGGTTGTCCATATACCTTAGGAACTCTTGATTGAAGAACTTGGAGAACATCCACATCCGGTACATCCTCCATAAGTGATACAGCCTGGGGAACCTGCGGTGCGGTCAGAGGGCCTCGGTGCGCAGGATGCTCTCACATGCACACGACGATAACGTTCTCGATGCGGTAGTTCAGCACCATCTGACCTTGCTTGAAGATGTAAGACTGCGCAAGGAACTCGAACGAGAGCCCGGGGACAGGGTTGATGATGCAGAGGAAGATCTCTATGACGAGCTCAAGGAACTTCTTGGTCTGGACGCCTCCTTGCATGGCCCACTTGGTGACTTGCCAGAACCTGGGCCTCTCCTCCCGCCAGTTGTTGCTGTTCAGATGTACCAGCGAGAGCTCCAGAGAATAGAATCGAATCACGAGGCCGGTCAGCAGCACCGAGGCCACAGCCACAAGGGCCTTCACGCTCGAGGCCCTCGAAGTGCACTTCGTGCTCACCAAGACCAGCAATTCCTCCTCGGTCATATTGGTTGTGTCGATGCTGTCGGAATAAGGCTTGCCGACCCCGCACAGCTCAGCCACTGTGATGCCGAGAAGCAAGGAGACAACAGCTGACAAAGTCGTCCAGATCTGCGACGAGGTATCAATGAGTGACGGAGAGTTCGTTGCAGCATCCCAACTGACCTGCAGGTAGTACTGACTCCTCTGAATCTATCCAGGGACGAAAGCAAGGGATCGGATAACGATGAAAATCAGTTCACAATCACGCCCAATTTAAAACATGATCAAGGTAAGCATACTTTGCGGATTGTAGTTCTCCTGTACTTGTCGCTTGTCATGAGAAGGACCTTCTCTTCGAAGTCCCTGTTTCTGTTCCCAAAGCAAAACATGGTTGCTAATCAAGATGTGTCTTCTGGCTTTTCCTGTCAAAAACTTGCAACCGACTTCTGCTACCCTCGTCGCTTTTATGATCTAGTTACCATCTCTCTGCGATCATCGCACAAATGCTACCATGTAAGCAGCACCGGATTTCAACATGTGTGAGGGAGATTTATCAGTCATTCGTGACTTGTTCGCTGCACATCGAGACATAATCTGTAGTTGACATGAGGCCTCGGACTGAAGGTAAACGGCATTTAGGCTCAAGAAGCCATAGCGCACTGTACATGAGTTGTCAGCGAGGATGAATCGAGACTTCCAAGGATGACTAGCAGTATGCGAACCAAGTTGATCGCTCAAATGGATCGCACTTATTGCAGTTCTGCATTCCTACACCTTTGTTACGGCCAACCAGGCCACAGCTGGTCACTCTTCTTATCCCTGCACCTACCCCTCCCTGGGTGACCGTTACTTTGTCCCTCACCGGGCCTGCTCCCCTGCCAGCTCCCGCATCTTCAACTGCTGCATACCTTCTTTTCTACTTATTTCTTTCTACCTCCTCTCCCTTCCTCTTTTCCACTCGACCTCCTCTCCCTCTTTCTTAGTCCCTCCCTCTCTACCTCCTCTCCCTCCCATCTTTCTCTTTGCTTCTGCCTTCTTGTTCCCTCTCCCTGCCACTCTTTCCCTCACTCCCTCACTCCCTCACTCCCTCACTCTGTCCACCACTCCCTCACTTCCTACCTCACTGCATCAATCACTCCCTTGTCATGTCTTTCCTTCTTCCATTCCTTCCTCCCTCCTCCCTCCTCTCTTCCCCGATAAGCATACTTTAACCTCCCATGGACCATGGACCCAACCATTTACACAGAACCTCAGACCCCCTTTCATGCCTGTTGACCAGGGGTAGGCACCAGAGACAGAGGGGTGGGGTGGGTCCAGCACTGTATCCACACTCCACCCCCCTATTAATGAGGCGGAGTAAGGAACAAAGTTCACAGGACCGGTCCTGACCTGCGGGAAAGAAGGTAAGAGAGGGGGTACCTGCGGAGATGAAAGGTGCTCTGAAGCCCACAGGGGGGTGGGGTACTTGCAGAGTCTTCTTCTCCGACACGGAAAAAAAGGTCAAGTAGGCGGGCCTGCCCCGGAACATTTCCTGCCTCACTCGACGCAATGTTCCGTCCCTGCCCCCCTCCCTCCTCCCGCCCCCCTCGCAAACTTCGGCCTTCAAGCTCTTCCCCTCCAAGCAGAGTCTTCCTCTCCCTCCACGCCCAGCCCCCTGCCGACCCGTGCATGGCGAGCAGGCGCGGGACTCGTCCTCTTTCAGGAAAACTTCACACGAAGTGATCTCGACAAGAAACCAAAGGGCAAGTGTGCGAAAACAATGCACAGTCCAACGCTGCTTTATTAATCATTGAATCGAATTTGACGGTGGTAGAATATGAAGGAAAGCTACTTAGTAATCTAAATTCATCAGAAACGATACTATTTAAGGAAGACAAAAAGTCAGTAAACACGTCCTATCATTCTCCATGGCTCGCAGCCCGTCCTCCACCGACCAGCAAGCTGGAAGTGTGTGTACATGTATATGTATATGAAGTGATTACAATAAAGCTAACGTATGCTGGATCAGGCTTGGAGAAAGAATGGAGGAGGGAGGGGCTGTTCCCCTCCCATGGCACGCAGATAGACAAGGCTTCCGCTCTCCTGTGCTGTCACCATATGCAGCATGGTGACGATCGGAGATGGCGGTGAGTACAAGAGAGGGCACGACTAGGGACCCGGTTGATGATGTCAAGGATCGCGCTTCCCGGCGCGGCCTTATGGCCTTATGGCGACTCGCTGCTATCACCCGAGCGATAGGCGACATACAGGTGACTGGCTTGGTACGGTGCCAGGCGCTTCCACGCCCTGTAAGCTTCGTTCCATCTGCCCTCGGATCCTGAGCAAGGGCTGCGCACGAGTCAAACGTCAACTTGACCCTGAGTTTTACTCAAAGTTAATTAAAAAATCTACGGTGGTCATCTTTGACGGCACGAGGCGGGCTTGTGTCTCTTATGAGGCATGTCGGGGCAGATATGGCCTGAGGGAAGGAGCCGGAAATAGCGCAATTGAACCAGCTTTACCGCTTTACTACACCCTCACACTCCTGGACATGCTACCTCTTATAACCCACCTCTTCCTTCTCCCTTCCCTCCCCCGCCTGCCATGCCCCGCTCCTTCTCTGTCTCCGTCCCCCCTCCCTCCTGCCTCCACCTTCCTGCCTCCTGCCCCCCTCGTAAAGCCTTCAAGCTCTCCCCCTCCCAGCAGCTCTTCCTCTCCCTCCAGGCCGCCCCCTCGCCCCGCCCTTGCCTCTCCCCGGACGCGTGCATGGAGAGCATACTCGACGCCAGGAGGCGCGCCTCGGCTGTGCGGCTCAAGGGGCAGGCGAGGGACCCTGCTGGCTCGCCGGGGTCGTCCTCCATGGCTCGCAGCCCGTCCTCCACGACGTCGCCCAGGCCGCCCAGATGATGATAATGTCGTGGCCGGACGTGTAGGGGGGAGGCGATGCTCAAGCGAGGAAGCAGGGAGGCGGTGAGAGGGAGCATGTAGAGATAGCCAGCAGGGAGACTTGTGTAAATGTATGTACATACGAAGCCGATAAGAATAAAGCTACACATGTATGCTGGATGAGCACCCGCTGGGCCGAGATTCCCTGCTCCATCAAGTGCCTGTGAGTGTCCAAGAAGGCAGCCAGCATGGGGACAACATCTGCCGCGTCCGCATTGACCCGGTGGAAGAGTGGCGGTGTAGGTAACATCCAATGCTGGATCCTGCGGGGTGAACCCATCCCTTCCATCACTATAAGGCAACTGACGTTTGAAGTAGGTAAACTGAGGGTTGCCAGGGGCGGGTAGGAGGTCAAACAAACGTGGCCACTGAAACACCTTCGCAAGAAGACGGAGGTCCGCGAAGTCAAAGCGCTTACACTGAGCAGCAGTCAAGGCTGGGGGGATCCACGTAAAAACTTTTGGAGGGTGGGATTACAGTTGCTCAATAGAGAATTGAAATCCTGTCGGAGGATTCCTTTCAACATTCTCCTATCACGTTGCACTAGCTAGTCCGAGTGACTGACAGGCTGTTTGAGTTAAATGGCATGTAAGGAAAAATGCGCCTACTCGCCATTTTCATGTCGGTGGTAGCGGCAAGAGCGAGGGAACAGCAACAAGGGATGCGTGAAGATCCGCTCTCACTTCCATCGTCACTGTGAGGCAGCATGGCGCGGCACAAACGAACTGCTTTCCTCCGTCGTCACAGTTCTGTTGTTGATCCTCTACTGACTGGCACGCCGGGCTCGTCGTCCCACTATCCTCACACAGGCCTTGAGTCTCGAGAGGCTCCTCTGACTCGGAGTCACAGCAGGAAACTCTTCTAGCCCCTGACATGCTGGGGGGACAATCTCTCTCTGCAGCTTCTCCTCCGCAGGATGGCATTGCCTCCTCGGGTAGGTCGGCAGGAGGTTCGGGGAACCAAAGACCTCGGAAGCAGGCAAGATTTCATCGACCCACCTCCCAGAGGACACCCATCGATCAGCCTACAGTCAATCAGAGTCCCACACCCCCTCCTCAACCGGCATATCTTTTCCCGGAGGACCCTAGTGCGGATTTCCGCGCAGCCCTCTTTGACAACCTGCGTCCACAAGACATGCCTTGTGGTACATCGAATTGGAACAGAGCTCTCCCCCTCTTTGCTCAACAGGGTCCACATAAACTTCCGGAACTGCTGGCTCGCAATCCCTCCATTACAACTACAGTTTACGCTAGACCTGCTGCACGGCTACCCGGACCTGCATTGCGAGGAAGCGAAGATTATCCGGAGCTTGTGGCATTGTCTCCCACTGAAACCAGTCCTTGCAATCTCGCGACAAAACCGAGAGGTGAGCTAGGGTGTTTCTTTTGAACAAGATGGCCAAGCGGATGGAAATAGCAGAGGTCAGCAGGATGTCATGCAGCAGTCAAGGGCAGGATCAACTGGGACGGGGCGAGTTACGAGACAGCGGGCATCGCAAGGTAAACGCCAACAACCTAATGGACACAGTGCAGGCCGCTCACAAGGAACTGACCATGAGAGCCTGAGTGAGCGGGTAATGCAGCCAGTCATGGAGGGGAAGAAGTTGGAGAACAAGACCATCTTTTCGGATGTTGAGCACTACCAAAATAGGGAAATGAAGTGAAGAAAGCTAGTCAGGCGCTTGTAGGCCATGGCCTCTCTCCAGACCATTCGAGCACCTATGGCAGCAAACTCGTGAGAAATTTCCGACAAGACTGGACCCCATTCCTCCCATCATCCTGGACGCAGTAGGCTCCTCAAGGCAAATACTGAGCGCTCAGATTGGAGATGCCATCGCCGATGAACCGGTCTCGCTGCTTGACAAGACACCTGCGATACATTGACATCTTGAAGCCGATTGCGCTGGGAATCCCGTCGGGCGCTTTCCTCGAGGAATACACCAGAGGGGGGAGATTCATTCCTGCTGCCAAATCGGCGGACAAGAGTGGAATCCGACCTACACTACTAACTTACACACCCGCCTCAGAGGTCCAAGTGCAGCATCTGCCAAATTGACTCTCCTGATTGTCCTCGTACTGATCTTTAACTTAACTTTGAGTAAAGATCTAGCAAGTAAGTTTGATTTCTCCGATTTTTTCCGGAGCACCGCACTGCTGGCTCACCGAGGCGGGCTCGGAATCAACGTTAAGCTAGATTTACAGTACGAGGAATTAAGTGTTTGTACTGGTTCCGGCTGTCAGCGAGTCCGTGCTCCTATTTCCGGCCCAATGTTTGTTGCCTTCCGCCACCCACCCTTTATACGCCCTCTCAGCCACCCCCTTTAACCCCCCCCCCTACTCCCCCTCACTCCGCCCTTACGTTGACAGCCGGTTATCTGAAAAAACACCCTTTCAAGAACACATACTTTACTACACCCTCCTTCCCCGATTTCTTCCTTGCCGCCCTCATCCTCTAGTCCTCCGCCCTCGACCTCTCTCGCCTGCCATGGCCCGCTCCTTCTCTGTCTCCGTCCCCCCTCCCTCCTGCCTCCACCTTCCTGCCTCCTGCCCCCCTCGTAAAGCCTTCAAGCTCTCCCCCTCCCAGCAGCTCTTCCTCTCCCTCCAGGCCGCCCCCTCGCCCCGCCCTTGCCTCTCCCCGGACGCGTGCATGGAGAGCATACTCGACGCCAGGAGGCGCGCCTCGGCTGTGCGGCTCAAGGGGCAGGCGAGGGACCCTGCTGGCTCGCCGGAAGCCCAGATGATGATAATGTCGTGGCCGGACGTGTAAACGGGGGGGGGGGGAGGGGGGGGCGATGGTCAAGCGAGGAAGCAGGGAGGCGGTGAGAGGGGGAGAGCATGTAGAGATAGCCAGCAGGGAGACTTGTGTAAATGTATGTGCATACGAAGCCGATAAGAATAAAGCTACACATGTATGCTGGATGAGCACCCGCTGGGCTGAGTGGGATGAAAAGCACACTGCCAGACGTCCCGAATAAATCAAGAGAGGGGATCCAGTCATTGTCGCACGCAGAACGAAGCTCGCCACTGAGGAAGTGTACGTTGAGATTCGCTGCTCCATCAAGTGCCTGTGCTGGCGTCGCTGCCCGCCCGTAAGACAGATTCCGGACGGATGATAGCGCTACTCAGCCGACCCATTCAATGTCTCCTTCACGAAGCTGCCCAATCGAGACATGCTTCGACTCATGAAGTCCGAGGCGACACCACCTGTTGGAATGCTCTTCCCATCCATCTTTTCTTGAACAACTTCTTTCAACACAACAACTCCGAGAGGAAAAGCAGGCCTTCGCGCACTGTGCCCAAAATGTTAGGAAAACTTCCTACAAGTATCTCTCCATCCAGTGTTGACACACGAAGTGATCCCGTCAAGAAACCAAAGGGCAAGTGTGCGAAAACAATGCACAGTCCAACGCTGCTTATTCGAATTGACGGTGGTAGAATATGAAGGAAAGCAAGTAAATTCTTAAAAGAAACGAGACTGCCTAGGATGTCTATTAAGGAAGACAAAAAGTCAGTAAACTTTGGCACGTCCTATCAGTGGCCGGACATGTAGGCTGCAGGAATTACGAGTGTAAAGAATAGCTGTGCAAGCCAGCAGTGCCACAGAAAGCAACCGAGCGGGGACTCGGAAACAAGTGCATACAGGCGAGAAGTTGGAACTTCAAGTGGAGAGTTGGAGTTAGAAATGCTGCCCCCTCAGAGTTTTTGACCAGCAAGATCAATCGCAATGCTGCCCTGCACTTTTCAAATATTGTGCTCTGAGGGGGGTCCGATCCCCTCACCCGCCGCATGGCGGGGTTGCGACTACTCGTGGGTCTCGCCGTGGCAGGAGCGATGGCAGGAGGAGGGGGAGAGATGCAACCTCCCTCTCCTCCCTCTCCTCTTCCTCTCTCTCTCCCTCCTCCTTCTCTTCCCTCTCCTCCTTCTCCTCCTCCATCTCATCATTCTCCTCGTCATGGTTGTTGTCATCATCGCTATCGTCATGATTATCATGTTCGTGATGCTTTCCTCTTCCTTTCTGATTGTTACCGTTCTCGACTTTCTACTCCTGACCATCCACATCTGCGCCGTAAACCCTCTGCAAGTCATCAACTTCATCCTCAACCGCAGAAACAACAGCAAAAAGCTCTGCCCTCCCGTCATCCTTCTCCGACCGAGAATCTGCACTGCATCAGGCAGCATAGGGCATTGATAGTTCGTGGAGGATCAAATGGGGAGGTCGACGGGGAGGAAGAAGCTGGTGGGGAGGGGTTGGTGATCTACTCCAAGACTAAGAAGAGGAGGCTGAGCCAACCAGCCCCGCCAGCCAATGGAAGCGCTTTCGAATGGAGCAGCGACGGGTGAGAGGGACGGGGAGAGAAGAGAGTGGAGAGGTGCTGAGAGGAGTTGGTGAGGTGGGAAATCCAGACCTGGGTCTCTAACCATCCTGACGACGAGAATGAAGACGCGTACCACGTCGACCCTTCAGCCAACCTCAGCAAGGTGCTTCTTGATGCGTCCCTCTGCTGTCGCTGAAGCCTTCCGGCAGCTCGAGCAGATCTTGCAGTGCGACGCCTCACCATGGTCGCCGAGCAACTTCCTCCTGATCTGCTTCGAGCAAGGATCTTACTTTGTAGAGGTCTGAGACGTCTTAGTCCCCTCCAGCTTCCTGACGTCCCGTCTACCCCTCCTCCCAGCGTCCTCTGAAGATCGGGTTCGCCAAGAGACCTGTTCAGCTCATGGGGCATAGAGAGCCTCTCCTCGGCTCGTCGGAGAGTTTGCGATCCGACTCGCGGCACACGATCATTCACGCCCAGCTCGAGGCAGCGGAGAGGAGCCGAGGGATCCTGCGGCACCTCCGCGTCCTGCAGCGCATGGAGAGCAGCATCGAACCGTGTGTGGACATCGTAGGGAGCCGATGGGCAATGGATCGATGCAAGGTGAAGGCACGCAAGGGGAGGTGAAGGAACTCAGAGAGTGAGTGGTACAGGTTGAGAGCCTCGGGGGGATCTGTGTGGAGGTCAGCGGAGCCTCACAAGTCGCGCTCGTCTCCTGCTCCATCGGGGGGGTGTCCTATCGGACGGGCCACTGCCAGCATGGGCTGTGGGTGTCAGGGACTTCGCACGTGCAGATGCGATCCTGCCAGGTCCAGTTCTCGTCCATCAATGGGATCAGCCTGCAGGAGAAAGCGAGGTGTTCCATCTCTCAGACTGCCTTGTACAAGTGCACAGTCGGCCTCTCCCTCCTGCTACCCGCGCGTGCCCGAGTCGCCTCCTCTACCTTCATGCTGAATTCCCACGGGGCTTTCTACCTGGGGAAACGAGAGCTGAACCTTACCTCCAATGGCTGCGGTCTGCCCAATCTGCCCTCCATCGTCATCCCTCCATCGTCATCCAGTCTGTTTCTCCATCGCCTCGTCTTTTTCATCGTCACCACCACCATCACCACCACAAACAACAACAACAACAACAACAACAACACCATTTCCCTCCTCTTCCTCCTCCTCTTCCTCCTCCTCTTCCTCCTCCTTTGCCTCCTTCATCCCCTTGCCGTTCTCGTTGACAGGCATGACAGAGATGCGTCCTGAGGCCCTCAACATGATCGACAGCTACGCTGATCAAGTCCCGAAGGGCGTTGCTAGGAACCTTCGAAGCATTTTCACGCTGACCAAGGGCGAGGAGCAGGAGCAGGAGCAGGAGCAGGAGCAGCCCAGACCTCATCTAAGGCTGGAGAACACCCAGGTACATGACGTCACGTTCGCTCCTTCCTTCATCCTCTTCTCCCCGGCTCGTCGTATCTCCCCGCATCCCCCAGCCTTCCTCCTCAACTTCCTCTTCCTCTTCCTCCCGCAAACCTCGAGGGCCTCCTTGACCCCTGCTAAGGTCCATGGTCCCCTCTGGAGCTCAACGGATCCTCCACCTTCCTCGCTCTACGAGGTCTCAGGGTCCTTGGAGGCGAAGGACGACGGGACGAGGTGCTGGCACGAGAAGGAACATCTGTCTCACTTCTGCGCTAGGCATGCTGGCATCGCCTTCTCCCGCATCCCTTTGGGCGCCAACAACCATGGCTTCCCGCACAGCGCACGCATCATCACAAGCGGTAGGGGGAAAGTGCAGGGAGGAGGATGAAGAGGAAGAGGAAGAGGAAGAGGAAGCGGAAGAGCAGGAGCGCTGCGAGATAACTCTGCTCTGCTCCTTCAGATTGTCTTTCCTCCAGTGAAGTAGAGGAGACTCCAAGGACAGAAGTGCCAAGAGCGACCAACGAGTCCAACAGCACGGCTGCTCCTCCCACTCCTCAGGCTCCTGCCGCTCCGAGGAGAGCAGCTTCCCTACCGGTCGACCTCCTCCCTTGGCTGCACGACTCTGATGATGCTACTCGGGGTGCAGGATAGCGAAGGATTTTCCAGTGGGATTCACGACTCGGAATCGGAGGGACCCAAGCAGGAAGTGCGACCGAGGTTGTGTCACCTCTTGTTTTGTTGCGTCCTCCCTCCCTCCCTCCCTCCCTCCCTCCTCCTCCTCCTCCTCCTCCTCCTCCTCCTCCTCCTGTTCCCTCCTCGCTTTCTCATCCTCCTCGCTCAATCCCGAGCAGGACGAAGGGAGCGAAGCTGCAGGAGCTGCTGGGAGCGGACAACTTCATTCCAATCGACGAGCCGTTCTCTGTGGAGCTGGATGAATCATTCTCGATAGAAGAAGATTGAGATTGGACCCCGCCCTCCTCCTCCCCTTCTTTGCTGTTGGTTCCTCTCCCTCTCCATCCACTCCACTCCTCCTACCCGCTTCCTCTTCGGTGCTGGCAGACTCTTTCTCTCTCATCCTCATGCTCCCCGGTCCCCTCGCACCGTCCCAACCCTCTCCTCCTCCTCCCCTCCAACCACCTCCTCTCCTTCCTTCCCATCCACTCGCCTCCTCGACCTCACGACCTCCAGCTCCTCCTCCATCACCACCGCGTGTCCTCAATATGGTCATAGGGAACTTGGTCTATTTACCGCTATTTACAAGTACTGGCTGATGCTTCTGAAGGGACTCTGAGAGCGACTAGAAGGAAGAGATTGACAGTGCCTGCAGAAAACATCATCAGAAATGATCGTTCTCCTCATCGTTCTCCTCATCCTCATCACGTTCTCCAACTCCTTCCCACTTCAACCCCTCCTCTCCTCCTCTATGCTTACCCTCGAATCAGCGAGAAATCTCCAGGAGAGCAGGAGGATAAGTCGCAGTCTCCTTTCACCTCGTGCTTCGTGAAGTCTTCGAGCGATCCTGCAAAATCGTCAAAGACTCCTTCGAACTTACCTCCCTCAAGCAGACCACCACCACCCTTCATTCCACATTCTCCTCCTCCTCCTCCTCACTCCTCCCCCTCCTCCCCATGCACCCTCCTTCCTCACATCCTCCTCCTCCCTCACCAAACGCTTCGAGCAAGCAGACTCTCGGCAGGCCTTCTTGCCCACTTCCCTGAGCTTTTCTCTCCTCATCGTGCCTCCCTCCCTTCTCGGGACTCGCCGTCGGAGTGCTTCCTCCGCTGTGAGAGAACATGGACATGAAACCCGAGCTCAGCCTCGACTTCATCGCCCTCCTGATCCCTCCCTTTGCCCCCACCGACTGCCGCAGGCTGTGACGAAAATCCAACAAACTTGACTTGAGGCCGTCCTGCTCAAGATTGCGTCAAGGAGTGGTGGATGGCAGGGGAGGAGAAGGGAACGGGGATGAGGGAGCGGGAGATGCAAGGAGAAGCGAGAAGGGAGGAGGACGAGGAAGGAAGGAAGGGGTAGAGACAGTTGGGCATCTCCCGGACCTTCATGAAAGCGATGACAGCAGGAGACGTGGGCGGCTTGCTGTGGGAGGCGATCACGTGCTCGTGCTCGGCGAGCCAGCGGTTGAAGTTGTTGGTCTCTCTCCAGGCGTCGGTCCAGGCGCCGCCATGGATGCGAGGCATCTCGTTCTCTGCGAGCTCACGCTGGATCGAGTCGACTCTGCGCACAAGTCAGCTTCCTCAGCAGCATGGGGAAAGGGGAAGGGGAACGGGAAGGGGGCGGAGCAGTGGTAGATGAAGGCAGGATGAAGGAATGGGCGGGGGAGCATTCGCATTCATACCTGTACATGGTCGACTGCACGTTCCTTGACGCAGCCTGAAGCAAGCGGAGAGTGAAGACTAGGAACTGCTTCCGGATCCAGAACGAGAGCTCCTCCTCCATGGCCCGCGGCGAGTTCTCTTCTTCCCCTTCCTCCCCTTCCTCGAGCAACTTTGAGAACTGCAGAACACGAGGTGAGGAAGGAACAAGTCAGGCTATGACTTTGCACCTGCTCCACCTTGGCCGTGAGCTCGTCGGCAAACTGGCGCTCGTGGGCTGACAGTTGCGATACCTGTAGGAGAGAGACAGGTGAGGAGCAATTCGTGTTGAAAAATCGGACAATGAAGTAGCAGAAGATCAGCGCAACGATGATAGTAAAGATGGTAATGATGGTGACGATATTGGTGGTGGTGGTGGTGGTGGTGGTGGTGATGATGATGATGATGATGATGATGAAACTATGAAAATATCTACAATGGCGATGGCGCTTTTGACAAGAATGACAATGACCACGATGATGACAATGAAGTTGTTGTATCACCTTCTTGAGCTCCTCTGAATAAATCGCAACATTCCCAGTCTGCACCACAACACGTCACCATCGCTCACCACCATCCCCGCCCGCCTCACCTCGGCGTTCGCCACCACGTCAACCTTGGAGGACGAGAGCTGCTTGCTGATCAGGAACCTGTTGCTGCTTCCAGCCATGAAGCCTCCTTCACTGTGGCGATCGAAGATAAGAACTTCCTCCCCACGATATCCGAGAGAGTTCACCTATGGTGCGAGCTGGTCATCAGCAGCTCCATCGGGATGTAGGGCTCGAGGCGGCTGAGGGCACACAGACGTCATGCCAAGCCAGGCAAGAGGAGCTGCACAGACCAGTTCCTGTGGAACACACAGAGGGGAAGCCCATGGATCCTGCTCGTCTCCCTGCTAAGCAGAATCAGCCCGCTGCCCCCACCATCGTTCGCCTCCTCCACCACCTCGAGAAGAGATCTTCGTCCTCAGACTTCGGGATGTCAACCTGCAAGCCCAGCGGAGCCTTGGCGGACAAGCACTCTTGCAACTGATCGCAGGAAAACGTGTCAGAAAGACAGGAGGCCTCTCGTCGACCACGTGGGTGCCGCGACTCACATTGGCACGGGACGAGCCGGAGGAGCCCAGAGAGGCATCGGACGAGGACTTGCTCTCGCTGCTCTCTTGAGATTCGAGGCGGGAAGACAATTTGAGGCCCCTCAGGCTGCCCTCAACCTGCGAGGCGGTGGACCTTATGGACTCCAACGAGACCTTGTCTTCTGCCGAGATCTCCGACAGGAACGAGGCTACTTGCAACGTGGGGGACAGGGACTGCAACAGGCGGGGGACGAGAGAGACTAACGAGAGGACTAAGCAGGAGGCATCTGCACAGTTGTCGGCGTAAAGAATCATCTTGGGCTCCAGGAGGAGGAGCTGCGAGAAACCGTCAGCCACGGCTTGTTGAACCGTGGACGTCTCACCTTGTACAGCACGACGAGGTTTCTACCAAACCGGCGGACAAGAGAGAGCGGGTTGAGACCGGCTGAGCACTCCATGGACTCGATCCACTTGCCGGAGGGCTGCCGCCTGGTCTGAAAGTAGAGCTCGGTCAGGATGTCCTTCTTGGAGAAATCGCGGAGCGAGAAGAAGTCCTGGACCACAGGCCTCATCTCCCCCAGCATCCATCCGAAGCAGGGATCTCTCGCCAGCAGCACCACGGCCTTCTGCACATGAGACCTCTTGTCGTCCGCTTCCTTCTCCAGCAGCTCGCTCGTCTTGACGTGCCCGAAGACCGATACTCCGAAGTACTGCGTGCACTGCTCCTCCCCATCCAGCGCAAGATCCACGGTGAAGAACACGTGCCCGAGCCCAGACACATGGTGCGCTCCTTCCGGCAGGCAGAGCATCGCCAGGTGCCTGAAGTTCACCCCCGGGGACGGGGGGTATGTCCACTCCACCGTGTGGCCCCTGTTGTGGTGGAACCCGATCACTGCCACCAGCTTCACCACGGCACAACCTGAGCTCCTGCTGGACTCCATCGTCGAGAAGCCCAGCTCTGTCCCAGCAGTGCTGCTGTCATCGGCTGAGAGGATCGAAGAGCAGTCTGCGTTAAGCGGTACGCTCTCCATCTCCCTCTTGGAGTTGTCCATTTCGACCCCGAGCATCCCCACTGCCTGGGAGATGGCTTGGTGCTCAGTGAGCACGCTGCCTTCCCCTTCCACACCTGACATGTCGCAGCGCCTTGCCAGGACTCCCGATCACCTCGTTGAGGCCATTTTCAGCTCAATTGAACCCGGCGGCCAAGAGTGGAACGAAGAAAGAATCAACGAAAGAAGGGTTTGAAGGATAGAGTCTCTTGACAGAAGCAAAGATTGCAGTTGAAAATGTGTCTCCTACAACAGCAAGGAACGCAAGATTTCGTCCAGGAAAAATATGTACCGTGTAACGAAAATATGCAGAGCGAACAGGGATTCAGGAAGGGGAGAAGAGAGATGGGGCTTGAGAGAAGGAAGATCGAGAGGGAGAGATAGAAAGTGACAGGAGGAGGACGGAGGGATGGAGGAGAGAGGAGGAGGAGGAGGGTGGATCTTCTTCAAGATGCCAGCCAGCCGCTCAGTAGTGCATGGCGGTTCCGATCGGTTTGTTGCATAAAACTCTAAAAGGCTATTTATAAAATATCAGCATCGAACCTTTACCTGTTTTATACAACAGTTATAATAAACTAAATACCTACTTTTCATCTTCTTTATCTGTGGTAAACAGAGAGTAAAATAGTGAATCTTCTTTTTTTGCCTATTCTTAGAATCAATAAAGCACGTGTGGTACCTTTTAAAAACTAATATAAAACTTCCATTATAAAAGCACCCCTACCCCCGTCATCGTCGTCGATCACCCCCCATGTGACCTTTTCAGCCGGAAGTCGCTGATGGGTCAAAACACAAGGTGACCTCATCCCCGCTATGACACAAGTCAACAAAAGGGTGTAGCCCATATCTCAGTTAGACGGCAGGTCCGGGCCGCCGGTCGGACGGTCGCTGTCACTGAGCCTGAGGCCCGGGACTCCCGCCTTCCGACTGGAGCCTGAGGGTACTTGGCCCCCACCGTGTGGGGCCGCCGCGCCCGGCCGCCGGGAAGCTGCCGGCGAGGGCAACGCCGAGTCTGATTGAAGCCTACGGCCACCGCAATGATATACAAAACGACTGCATTCATTCACAAGATTATTAAGTCCATAGGTTGTGTTGCATGCTCCCAGTACTGCGTTGATTGATCGCGAATCCTTTCAGCGTTTCTCGGCTTGTACAGGATTGAGCTAGTTCGGGCGCCCACATATCTCTTTCATTCTTCGCTTTTTCTAACATAGAGCACATTGTTGCACCTGTTGTTGAAATGGTATCAAGGGACACAGAATATCCAGCGTGCTACTGCTGTTCACCTGATCAAAACTTCACCAAGATCTCCCTGGAACTGATCCTCAATGAATTCCTGTGTATTCTCTAGTTGGATATTCATGTAATTATCTGTTGATTTTAGCACTCCTGGATAGAAAGATGAGTTCAGAGCCGAAGAAAAATTGTGGTTTCACCTTTATATTCCATTCCCCATTTAAGTTTCACAACGACGGAAAGGCCAGTCAGATCAGCAAGAAATGGCTTGGGGTTCACTGGCTGCAAGGACTGGAAAGACAAGCGAATCAGGCTTTCATGTTTCACACTTGTCGATTCAAGTGAGCAGCACAACAGACCAATGGATTTTTGAAATAGTATCCCATGCAGGAACCTTTGCATGCAGACAAAGAACGTATCCTCCCCTTTCACTATTCGCACAAATCCTCTGCGAGACTTGCGAGCTGGAGAGCTTGCGAATACTACGAATATCGCAACTTGCATGCTGATAAGAGGGAACCAGGACAAGCTAGATGAGTTTTGATATGCTTCTACCTGATTTCTACTAAGAGATGTTTGCACTACATCAAACTACTCCTTTACTGCCACTCTCAGCTTCATTCCCTGCAGCCATTTGAACCACCTCCAGCCACTTGAAAGAGGACAAGTTTCCATCAAGCTCTCCCTGACTCCTCCTCTTATGTATGTCATGTCTTTTCGCATGGTTCGCCTCGTTTTGATCCTCCCCCAACCCGCCATTCCCCGCTGAGCCACTCTTACCGCCATGCCGCGCCGCGTGCGATTGATTAGTCAACTCAATCGTTTCAGAAGGTCCCATTGAATAATCTCTCAATCATTCAAAACAAATAATAAATTTTCAATAATGTCAAATATTTAGGGAGGATCATGAAATTATTGTAACGCAATTGTAACGGATTTAGGAAATCGGGCGCTTGATCGTGGCAAGCCGGGAGGGGAGGAGGAGGAGGAGGAGGGAGATGGGGAGCTGAGGAGGAGGCATGGGGGGAGAGACATGAATCATGTCGATCTGATCATGCAGCCTCGAAGAGACTCCTTCCTCTGACTCACCGTCGTGCGCCACCTCCTTTGCGTTCCCGATGAGCAGGGACGTGCAAGTGACTTGCGCTGAGCATTCATATGAAGAGGTCGATGACCTCGTATGGGTTTGCACGAGGTGTGGACACGTGCTCCCAGCGCAGACGCTGGTCGGTGAGATCAATGCGGCGAACATCCATGTCCATGAGAACTTCGACACACATGCATCCAACAAGTACGGGCTGGACCGATCGTCAGTCAACCGTTTGAACGCTCCGAGCATCGTCGAGGAGCTGTGTCACAGGCTCAATGTGCATGATCGCAATGTGATAGAACAGACCGTCTCCCTCATGGAGCAGTACGAATCCGAGTGCTCCCTGCTCAGAGCCTCGCGGATCCTCCAGAGTTTGATTTGGTTCAAGGCGATGAGAAGCTTCGTGGACGCAGGGGATAAGGTGTGTGGTAGGGGAGGGCAGTCTGAGGAGGACAACTCTTTGGAGATGAGGAAAGAGTGGGAGAACGTCAAGGAACTTGTGCTGGGTCGGATGAGCTGCTGCCAAGCATTCCTCAGGAGTGTTCCGAGGCTGAATGCCGCGCTGATCAAGGAGGAGGAGCTGAGAGCTCGATCGTTCACGGATCCATCGTACTCGAAGATGTCGCATGCAAAAAGTAGCGAATCCGACCTCGAGGGTCTGTCCCGTAGATATGCCAGAAGGCTGTTGAAGGACATCAGCGAACATTCTTCGGCGGTGTTGCAGAAGTTTCTCGACTGTCATCACAAGGAGGTAGATTGGTATGATGCCTTTGTTAGAAATGATGTTTGCCGCAGATAATCCAGAAGATTGCAAATGAAGGGCAGCTGTCCGATGAAGAGATATCATCTACTAGAGAGCATCTGAAAATTCACCCCAGCCTTTCAATCAAGGTGAGGTGGTGCTCTTGCTGTGATCTGGGAGTCCTGAGCACCTCAAAAGCTCCAAGACCTCCTTGCTTCGAGTGCCGACAGCGGGACCTTCCCGAACTACATCGACCACACCCGCCTGTTTCGTTGGAGTGCGGATCGATCGGTGATTGAGAGGGTTGCAGCAGCCGTCCTCTATTTGCTGCTCCGCAAGGGCAAGCAAAAGCCCTTCCTGCAGGAGGTGACCCCTTGCGACTTCTTCGAACTCACCGCCTCCTGAGACTTGCTCTAGGTTGCGGCTTCTCTGTCTACATCCCGAGCGAACGATCGAGACAAGAAGCAAATAAACAATCTAGTAGAGCACATCGGCCGCCTCTGCCCGGTCAAAGATGCAGTGCCATGGTTGAGGGCGTCGGAATTCTCATCTACTCTCGAGCAAACTCTGCAGCAGCTGAAGAACTGCTGGAGGGTGCAGCCGTCTGGCGAAGGCGGCCTTGACACCAGTGTGCTCCTTCAGCAAGAGTCTGTGAGAAAGATCGAGAGGTGCAGCTCTGACCTGCTGTTGGTGGGTTCCCTGTCCTGAATCTGTCACACATGATTGATTGGGATGCAGATTCTAGAGGCGGCGAACCGAATGCATGGTCGATACCCGCAGACGGTATGTAGGGGGGACAGGAGGAGGAGGAGGAGGAGGAGGATCTCACGATGTTAATAGGTGATAGGGGGCATCTTGTCCTTTGCCTGTGGAGTAGTTTGCTCGGACAGTAGAGATCTTGCGAGAGTTCGAGCTGACATTGCAAACCTTGTTGGGATTAAGAAATCAACGTGAAGATGCTTTTTCTTTGTTCTCTCCTTGCTGACTAGCTGCAGTATCGAATCCAGGAACCGCGAGATCTGCACATTTCTCGTCTCGCAATCGAAGGATCTCCCTTTCGGGGTCGAAGGAAAGAATCTTTATGTCCATGCTGAGGCTGTTTTGGATCACTTGAAGCGTAAGATGACCCAAGGGAGTAAGTTTCTTGCCAACACCCCGAAGGTCTGCTTGTTTCCGTCTTTCCTTGTTGGTATGGTTCAGCGATCTTGCAGCATGCGGGTTCGCTGCAGCAAGAGTCTGTTGTTCGGGTAGCGCAATGGATAAGGCAGCTAGTGGAGGTAGGGACTTGAACTCTGCTGTTGGGCGCGCGTCCTCATCCCGACCCGCAGGATCGGGCTTCGAAGACTGTAACGAGGGAGGACCTGTCGGAGGAGGATCACCGGGCCCTTGAGGTCTTCAAGGTTTTTAACCCACGAGAGGGGACGATGAGCTCACCTGGTTGCTGGGCAGGCGGGGCTGAGATATGGGTGCCACGTCAGCAAGATCGAGCGGGAATGTCTCGACGGCTCGTTCGTCAACTCCGACTGGTGGCTGCGATCGACGGGGATCATGCCGAAGCGGAAAGTGGGAGAGGGAGAGGAACTGACGGCCCAGGATGTCTCCGACGACGATCTCGAGCCTGGGGGAATCTACTTGTACAGCGCTGAGGAGGTTGCGGTGCGTGAGCAGCAACTGCAGTTGGAGGAGGAAGAGGAAGAGGAGGAGGAGGACATGCGGGAGGAAAAAGTTGTGAAACCATCTCCGCCAAGGAAGAGAATCAGGAGAGCGAAGCGAGAGGAGATGGGAACCCGTCTCGGACGATCAGCGAAAGTCAATTACGAAGCTCTGGAGAAACTTCTCAAGGAATTCAGTTGAGGAGTGCAAAAAAACAGTGAGCCATGGCTTCGGCAAGGACGAGGACTGTCAGGTATTGGGAAGTGTAGAATGATGTACATTGTATTTTTCAGATGAGGTAGGATGGTGTGACTTGATGTATGTGAGCGTGAATTGGTCTTGTCTGCGACATCAAAGACATTCTTGTCCCTCCCTCTTTCTTCTTCATCATTTCAGCTTTACAAGACACCTGCACGAGATATGCACCGACCCGCTCCGACCACCGCGCAGTTGTATCCAACTGCGTGGACAGTAAGGTGAGTGAAAGAGGGGAAGCAGGACCGGGACCAGGAAGAGGAAGAGGGAGCAGCAGCAGCAGCAGCAGCAGCAGCAGCAGCAGCAGCAGCAGCAGCAGCAGCAGCAACGTTGGGCCTCTTACCTATGAGAAATCTTGCTGTTCCCGCCTTCATCCAGCGCCATCAGGTCGACCAGCTTGTCGAAGTCTATGGTCGCCTCCCCCATGAACGTGTGCGGCTCGCCGGCTCCCTGTCCTCCCCCGTCAGTCCCGGAAGCATTCGGGCTCATCAACCTCGTCGCAGAGGACGGACATCCTGGCGGATCCCAACGGCCCGTCGAGAGGAGCGTGAAACTTCAACTTGTCGTGGAAGATCGGGTTACGACTGCACAAGCACGGTCAGCCCGTGCGAACTCCTCCTGGCATCCGTGGGGGCAAAGAAGGGAAGGGAAGGGACGTCGATGGGATGGACCTGCTCTTCACGGTCTTCCCCCGACAAACTTGATTGTGGTAGACGATCAGGCAGTAGGGGTTGCTCGTGATGGCCTTCACCTTGCAATGGCCCATCGTCATCTCCAATTCAGAGCGTCCTCCACCTCCTGTCTCCTCCTACCACTACTACTGCTCCTTCTACTGCTCCTGGTCGTCTCCTCATCCTCCTCATCATCATCCTCCTCATCCTGATCCTCATCCTCATCCTCAGCATCGTCGTCGTCATCATCATAATCACCCTTCTCCCAATCCTCCTCCTCCCCCTCTCCTCCTCTCCCATCTATCTCACCCCAGTCTTCCAGTACAACTCAGGGCCCTGAAAGTCTGTGCCGTGCAGGATTTCAAGCTCAATCTGCTTTTCCTTCCCAGAGGATACCTGAACGAAACCGAGATAAACAACATCAGGTCACGAGATTCTCCCCATCAAGCTCACGTTGACGACTCGCTTCTTGGAGACTTTCGGCTCGGGGGGATAGAGCTCAGGGATCTTGTCGTCCACAATCACTGTCCTCCGCTCATCGGCCTCGTCTGAGCCTCCAGGTCTCGCCGTCTGTGGGTTGCTCAAGGTCAGTGGAGCCGGGACGACGCAGCAACCAGCTACGTTGGCCTGGAAGTCGTCCAAACTGCCGTTCAGGGCATCTGCTCAAACGGGGTGAATCAGCACACGGGGAGAGAACGACTGCATGTCACCTTCAATGACTTGTGTCGTGATGTCGACAGCAGCAGCCTTGTGTTTCAACCCTTCCTGGTTGCCAGAAGCTCGTAAGTCTTCGCCTCTTCCCCTCAACTCAAGTATGTCCTCCCATTTGTTTGCCTTGCGTCGTCTTCTCTCCTCATCAGATTTCCTCTCCTCTCATCTCATCGCATCTCATCTCCTCTCATCTCATCTCCGCTCCTCTCATCTCATCGCATCTCATCTCCTCTCATCTCATCTCCTCTCCTCTCATCTCATCTCCGCTCCTGTCCTCTCCTCTCATCTCATCTCCGCTCCTGTCCTCTCCTCTCATCTCATCTCCGCTCCTGTCCTCTCCTCTCCTATCCTATCCTCTCCTCTCCTCTCCTCTCCTCTCCTCCACCATCTTCACCTGCGTCGTTCGCAGCGCAAGCCTCCTCTCGAACTCGTCGATATCCGACATAGCGAGCGTTGGGATCTGGTTGTTAACCGCAAAAGTTGGTAGACCGTAAGGTCGGCGCCCGACCAAGAGGCGGGCAGAGAGGCGGGCCTGCACTGCAGGCGGCGGCTCGCCACTGGGCCACTGCCCAGCCTGGGCCGCCGGCCGGGCGGGCCAGTGGCCCAACATGAACCAAGGTACTGAGGCACCGGGTGATTACACTTAAGTTATCTGAGTTTATTCATTACATGATTACTAATACATAGAAGAAACAACTGAGAAAGACAAACAAAACGACAAGGCAACAAAGAATGTCACCCGGCAACAAACACTGACACATGAAACAATATCAACACTGACAATTAGGCTGCCATCACTCTCGACAGCCTCCGACTATCAGCCGCCCGGGCCCTCGACCTCAACTGGGTACCTCAACCATGACACTTAGGGTCTCGAAGCGAGTCCAGGATCTCTCAGCCTTGACCTTGCTCATCTTGTTGTGCATGTAAACAAGCTCGCGGAGAGCCGTCATCTCCTGCTCCGAGGCATCCGGAGGGATCGAGTGGATGCTCTTGAACTGCTTCATGTACACCCCATCCCTCCCTGCTGCCTGCCCGCTCCCCAACGCAAGGACGTAGTCTCGGAAGATTCCTGCAATCGCTCCTATGCCGTCGGCCACCCGGCGGTTCTCCTGCTTCAGGTCCTTGGCAATCTGCTCCATCTGCAGCAGCTGCTGGCCCCCAAGGTGGAGGAGGCCACAGAAGCTCGTGGCAAGGGAGCGGTGAGAAGCGGCCAGGTCCTTGCCCACCACTGCTATCCTGCGGTATGGACTATCCACTGAGGTGACATCGGCTCTGATCAGGAGGGAGACGGCGCCTTGATCGGACACATGCACAGCCCACGCGTTCCTCAAGTCCGGGCGAGTCGTTTGCTCGTCAGTGTCCCCGAGACCGATGCCCGTGACCACTCGCTCGCACTCCAACGGCGTCACCTTGTAGCTCTGTCCTGTCCCCAGGATCCCTGAAGGCAGTCGAAGATGCACGGGCGACATGCCGGCCACGTCTGCCGGACCATAGAGCATGAAAGCAAGGTTCGGCTGCTGCATCAACCCTTGCTGATAGCTGCTGGTCAGACGACGCCAGGTCTCTTGTAGGTCAGGAAAACCGTTCTCCTGTCGGGCAAGATCTAGCTCCATCTTCTTCAAGAGCACAGCGAACGTGCCGATGAACCGATCCGACTCATACGTTGCCCTCCGCAGAGACATCTCAGCCAAAACCTCCGGCAGGCAGGACTCGTCGACGTCCAAGACGTACCTGCTCCTGAGCTTCACGAGCGCCTGCCACAGCACTCCGGTCAGCTCAGGATGCGTTCTGCAGTCGAAGGGGCCAATGAGCGAGGGCGAGGGCTGCCCCTTGTTGTCCACAGCCTCGTATGACAGGTTCTGAAATGCCGTCGAGAGCTTCTCGTCAAGTTCGTCTCCCATGGAGTTTGCCATCTCCTCGAGGTACTTGAAGTTCTTGTTGCTGGCCATCTCTGGGGTGAACCCCTCGTGCCGATGGAAGTTCTTTACGAAGAACCTGAAGAACCAGCCTGACCCGATGCAGTTCCGCATCGCCGTGTACGTGATGTTGTTCGGGCCGACTTTCTCGTCCATCGTCCTCGCCATGAGGTTCGGGATCTGATACAGCAGACCGGATATGCTCACGACGAATTGGCGCCCCCACAGCATCTCCGCCCATTCCTTTGCCAAGTACAGCGGAGGCTCGTGATCGCAAATTGTCCTGCCATACCTTGCCTCCTGGTACGTCCATGCTCGGGATAGATAGTCGAAGTAAGGCAGCCCGTTGGGATTCCTTACCTCCCGCAGCACCGTGGTCGCCTTCTCGTAGAGAGCGCCCATGGCGCTGACTTGGAACCCTGTGTACTTGGATTTCTGCGGTACGCACACCTTGTCGATCCACATCTTCCCGTACTTCTTCACGTCAGAGCCCAGCATGTTCAGCTCCATCTTGAAGACTCTCGTCCTGTACAGCAACACCCCGCTGTCGCAGTCGACCACCTCGATAGTGACAAGGTCGGAGCAGTTGATGGGGGTGGCCCACCTGTAGCTCCACCCGTAGACGCTCGAGTCGACGGCTGTGAACGGCACGAACTCAACGAAGACTCTCCGGGCAGCGCTGTCACACCCAACAACCACGATGAAGTGATCCCTTGCCTTCTCCACACGCCCCGACTCGTCAAAGTCCCAGCTACTGATCAAGGAGTCGTCGATGGGTGGCGAATACGGCACCGCCCTAGCATCCAACTCTCTCTGTATCAACGAGTCCTTGGCCTCCTTGGCCTCTTGAGCGCTCAGACACTGAGCCAGGGAGACCTTGGGCGCGTCCTCCTTGCTCGTTTTCGGGTGGCTGCGGAGCCAGTAATCTTCTCCTCGGGGAAGAGTCCTCTCGCGGCCAGGACTTGAAACATACTGAACTCCTCTCCTATCACCACCACCTTCTCCTCGGTCACCAACAACAACTCCGCCACTGTCTGCTGTACCACTTCCCCAACCATAAGCACTACCTCCTCCTCCTCCTCCTCCTCCTCCTCCTCCTCCTCCTCCTCCTCCTCCTCCTCCTCCTCCTCCTCCTCCTCCTCCTCCTCCTCCTCCTCCTCCTCCTCCTCCTCCTGCATGACTATATTGTTTCGTGCCTCCTTCTCCTGCCATCTCGCTCATGCTCGCCTCCACCATCACCTCCCTCCCCTCTGCTGAGACGCAACCGCCCATGATGGGACCCAACTCCGGAAGTGTCCCGTGTATAAAATTATATGATAATTTCATAAACTTGTAGAGATTATATATAAAGTGCTTGACAAATTTGACGAGCCGTCTGAAGAGTCTCGCAAATAACGCGAGGAATGGCGTGATGAGGGAAGCCGGGGGGGGAGAGGAGGAGGAGGAGAGAGAGAGAGGAGGAAAACACAATGTTCGGAGACCCTGAAGATGGCAGTGACAATCCTTGTGATTCTAGATGCCTTCAGCAAGTGATCCGGATGAGAACGAGGAGGGTTTTCAGTTCACCCAGGATCAGAAGCCCCTGCTGTATGCTCAGGTACCACAGCATGCCCTTCCTCTGCCACTCGTAGCTGACAGGAGTCATTGGGAAGGCGTTCTCCAACTTCGATGGCGCCGAGGAAGGAGCGATGTCCTTGCAGGAGGGAGACGTCGTTGCCGTAGACGTAGGTCGACTCGCTTGACCTTTGCTCGCTGATCATGGTTGGGGACGAAGGATACATCGGACAGCGGCTGGTGGCTCGGGAGGAAGATTGATGTCAAAGACATGAGCGGTGAACCTGTGAGCATAGAGGTTTGCTCTGGTTGAAGCTCCCCCTCTAGTGCTAGACCGGGGAAAGTTCCCCAAGAGTTTTGTGGTTTTCCATTCACTGCCAACTCCTGAGGTGGGTCTTGTCGCCAGCCGAAGGACTGCTGAGTTGAGACGTAGGACGATGCGGAAGTTCTGGACCCCACAGGGGCGCAGGGTGCTGCAGAGGATGGGAGGGCGTGAGGGCGTTTCACATGACCTTGATGCTAGCAGAAGACATGGAAAATCTTAAGAGAGTTGTCAAAGAAATCATCGAGCGACGAGGAAACTGGCTTCCAAACGGGGAGCTGGGGGTCCAGGGCGTGATAGGTGGGCTGACAGAGCACAGAGCTCTGTCCTTCGCCTTGAAATCGGCCCTGGGTATGACGGTCGGCCTGTTGAACGACTGGTCTGACGTTTCAGTATCAGAGTCCTCGGCTGGTCAGGGGCAAGAGGAGGCGGCGGAAATGGAGCCGACAGACCTTGTGGTGAATATGGCAGGGGGTGCGGGAGGAGGCTGCTGACTCCGAGGGCGCCAAGTTGTACCGATCGGTCCAACATGTCATCGAGAACGAGCCGGACCAGGTCTGCTCGGAGATGCTGTGGATTGCTAGGAGGCTTCAGTTCAATATGAACCTGAAGGACAAGGTGAGCGGAGGCAGGGTGAACTTCCTTTGAGTGACGTGGAGGGGCAGGAGGGTCAGACCCTCCTCATGCGATCGTCCAGCCTCGGGCGCAGCTTCGTGGTGCAGGAGCTGTTGGAGCTGAATGCGGACGTGGATGTTGTAAACTTGGTGAAGGAGCGGGTGTTCGGGGGTGGCGGGGATGACGGAGGTGCCGTGACAGGAGGACGGGAGCACGGCTTTGATTCAGGCTGCGAGAGAGAGGTTTGATGAAACTGTTTCTCTGCTCATCAGAGCCAGAGCTGACTGCTCGGTCGTCGACCATGTGAGAGATAGAATAATGCTCTCCGCCACTTTATCTTGACTGCGTTCGGTTCGCAGCATGGCGTCAATGCGTTGAGGTACGTCGTCAATGAAGGAGAAGACCAGGAGAAGGTTTGTTATATTCCTTCAGGGTGATCCTGCTAACATCCCTCCTTCCATCTGTTACATGGATTCCTCCTCCTCCTCCTCCTCCTCCTCCTCCTCCTCCTCCTCCTCCTCGTGCGTTCTGTCACAGCTATGGTCTGAGAAGTCATCGAACGCGGTGCTTTCAATCTTCGGTACACGAGCAGAGCTGATGCCCTGCTGGGGTCCAGGTGAACTACTGCAGCTTGTTCGCCACGATCAGAAAGCAGAGCGACGAGCAAGCAGAGAACGTGAAGGGAGCAGAGGCTAGAGGGGAGGAGAGCTCAACCTGTGCAGGGGAAGAAGCGTGTGAGGTTCGAAGGGGGCGGTGAGGCGACTATGAATGGCGCGACGGGGGGGAATGGGGTAAGGCGACGAGAGGAGGGAGCGGAGAAGAGGGAGCGGAGAGCAGAGAGCAAAGAGGAGGAGGGGGAGGGAGCAGAGAGAAGGGAGAGGAGAGGAGGGGGCAGAGAGGAGGGAGGAGGGGAAGGGAGCGGAGAGGACAGTCACTGAGCTTCTTTTGTTGTGAAAGTTGTCGGAGAAGATTGAGCTGTTCTTCGAAGAGGATCTAGAGGTTCGACCCCTCCCTCGTCAGTGATCATTGTGACGTGTTTCATGCAGGTCAAACCTGTCGAGGACCTCCTGGCTGAGGTGTGAACGGGGAGGAGGAGAAGGGGAGACAAGGAGGAGGAGGAGTGTAAGTCTTTGTGAACTTTTCTGGTAGATGAAGAACAAGTCGGAGGACGAAATGCGCTCCCTGCTCTCCTCCCTCCCTGTGGAGAGGATCCAGCAGATCTCTGAAGCTCTCGACTGGGAGAGAGACGAGGAGGAGAAGCAGCGGCTGAAGGAGAGCACGCAGAAGAAGGAGGCGCAGGTGCTTTGATGTGCTGGCGGACGATGGGAGGATGAGTGAAGAGCAGGAGGGGAATGCTTTGAACAGGCGAATGAGCGAAGCTTCATCACGCACTTCGGGCAAGGGCAACACAGAGTGAGTGCGGAGAGAAAAGAAGAGCTGAGTGAGAGGGAGGGAGGAGGAGGGAAGGGGGGGGGGGGGAGGAGGGAGGGAGGAGGCGAGGCGAAGCGAGCAGGCAGCAGCAGCAGCGACGACGACGACGACGACGACGACGACGACGACGACGACGACGT